TCTCACCCGTTTTGTTTTCACCCTTTCTTACAGGCCAGGCTCCCAGAACTCTAGGGCAGATGCTCTGTCCTGACTGTATGACACGGAGGAGAGTTCCGTGGAGCCCACTCCCATACTTCCGGCGTTGTGTCTGGTGGCACCGGTGGTATGGGAGGTTGACGCGGACATTGAGCGGGCGTTGTGTAACGAACCCACTCCTCCCCAGTGTCCAGAGGGTCGTATGTACGTACCGCTGGAGGTCCGCGATCGTTTGATCTATTGGGCTCACACGTCACCCTCCACTGGTTATCCTGGCATCGGTCGGACAGTGAACTGTCTTAGTGGGAAGTACTGGTGGCCCACCTTAGCTAAGGACGTGAGGGTTTATGTTTCCTCCTGCTCGGTGTGCGCCCAGTGTAAGGCTCCTAGACACCTGCCCAGAGGGAAATTACACCCCCTACCCGTTCCACAACGACCATGGTCCCACCTATCGGTGGATTTAATGACTGATCTTCCTCCCTCAAAAGGGAACACAACCATCCTGGTCGTTGTGGATCGGTTTTCTAACTCCTGTCGCCTCCTTCCTCTGCCCGGACTCCCTACGGCCCTACAAACTGCCGAGGCCCTATTTACACACGTCTTCTGGCACTACGGGGTGCCTGAGGATATAGTGTTTGATCGGGGTCCCCAATTCACCTCAAGGGTTTGGAGGGCGTTCATGGAACGGTTGGGGATCTCGGTTAGCCTTACCTCAGGTTTTCACCCCAAGAGTAACGGGCAGGTGGAGAGAATCAACCAGGAGGTGGGTAGGTTTCTGAGGTCGTATTGCCAGGACCGGCGAGGGGAGTGGTCGGTTTTCCTACCCTGGGCAGAGATGGCAATAAACTCCAACCGCCACTCCTCAACTGACCTCACTCCTTTCCAGTGTGTGTTAGGTTATCAGCCGGTCCTGGCACCTTGGCATCAGAGCCAGATCGAGGTACCTGCGGTGGATGAGTGGGTTCGGCAGGAGACCTGGGACGCTGCCCATGAACGCCTGCAGCGGGCCATCAGGCGGCAGAAGGCGAGCGCCGACCGCTACCGCAGTGAAGCCCCAGTGTATGCACCGGGGGACCGGGTCTGGCTCTCGACCTAAAACCTGCCCCTTCGCCTGCCCTGCCGGAAGTTGGGTAGGCGGTTTGTGGGCCCATTTAAAGTCCTGAGGAGATTGAACGAGGTATGTTATAGGTTACAGCTTCCTACTAATTATCGCATTAACCCCTCGTTCCATGTGTCTCTCCTCAAGCTGGTCCACTCCAGGAATCTGAGATACGGGAGGTTCCTCTGCCCCCACTAGACATCGAGGGGGCACCGGCGTACTCGGTCCGTTCCATCCTGGATTCGAGGCGTCGGTTGGGGGGCCTGCAGTATCTCGTGGAGTGGGAGGGGTATGGTCCGGAGGAGCGGTGCTGGGTTCCTAGGAGGGATATCCTCGATCCCTCCTTGTTGAGAGAAGTTCATCGAAATCATCCGACTCGCCCCACGCAGCGTCTTCCTGGCCATCCCAGGGGGGGGGGGGGGGGGTATTGTCACGGATTCTGCCGAAACTGCCCTTCCTTCTGGTTCGGGCAGGCTTCGGCGTTCGTCATCACCGGAATACTAGCGGCTGCCGATCTATGTTCATCTGGTTGTTGTCTAGTGTTGCACACCTGTTTCCCATTATGGTATTATGTCTTTCCCTATTTAACCTGTTCGCTCCCACTGTGTGTTGTGCGTGTTTGTTACTTGTTTCGAGTGTCGTTTGTGAGCGGGTTTGCTCCTCCCTGTGTTGGAGGTTTTGCTTGTTTTTTTACTATACAGTAAAGTAGATTTTCATTTCATTCTGTGTCCTGCGCTTGACTCTGGCCTACCGCATTCCACAGACATTCATGACAATGGACCTCGCTTTGTGCACGGGGGCATTGTCATGCTGAAACAGGAAAGGGCATTCCCCAAACGGTTGCCACAAGGTTGGAAGCACAGAATTGTCTAGAATGTTTCCCTTCACTGGAACTAAGGGGCCTAGCCCGAACCATGACAAACAGCCCTAGACCATTATTCCTCGTCCACCAAACTTTACAGTTGGCATCTGCCAAACCCAGATTCGTCCTTCAGACTGCCAGATGGTGAAGCGGGATTCATCACTCCAGAGAACGCGTTTCCACCAATTCAGCCGACGCCATGGAAACCCATTTCATGAAGCTCCCGACGAACAGTTATTGTGCTGATGTTGCTTCCAGAGGCAGTTTGGAACTCGGTAGTGAGTGTTGCAATCGAGGACAGACAATTTTTACGCGCTTCAGCAATCAGCGGTCCCGTTCTGTGAGCTTGTGTGGCCTACCACTTCGCTGCCTAGCCATTTTTGCGCCGAGAAGTTTCTACTTCACAATAACAGCACTTACAGTTGGCCTGCTCTAGCTGGGCAGAAATTTGACAAACTGACTTGTTGGAAAGGTGGCATCCTATGACGGTGCCATGTTGAAAGTCACTGAGCTCTTCGGTAAGGCCATTCTACTGCCAATGTTGGTCTATGGAGATTGCATGACTGTGTGCTTGATTTGATACACCTGTCAGCAACAGGTGTGGCTGAAATAGCCGAATCCACTAATTTGAAGGGTTGTCCACATACTTTTGTATATATAGTGTATATTGTGGACATGATATAGTCACGGTAGTACCACTACTACTTATTTCATGGCGCCCTCACCTAACATGGACAGACTAAAACAAGTCTTCACTCAACATCCATGACCATTTTAAACATTTATATCACATGTAAATCTTAACATCAACACTGAAGGTGCTAGTCAATACACCCTAGGAAAGGGGAGAGAATACATAACGTGACCTTTCTATTCACACCCAATCACTTGTCTTGTTGATCAATTTCTTTCATTTAGTATTTTTCCTGTTCGAATACAACTTTATTCACCGAAACAGACAGGCAAAGTCAGAGACAACTGCGTGTAACATCATTGTCAGCCTGACTAAGACCTTCAGGTAGTGCTGAGCATTTTTAAACAACTAACTGACCAATGTCAGTTCAATTATTTGAACACCATTTCGTATTTTGTTTTCTTTGAGCTCAATGCGCAGTTTCTCTAGAGATAAATCAGATCAAGCCAGAACTGTGCAATGTACACTGAACAAAAATATAAACGCAACATGCAACAATATCAAAGATTGTACTGAGTTACAGTTCATTTAAGGAAATCAGTCAATTGAAATACATTCATTAGGCCCTAATCTATGGATTTCACATGACTGGGAATACAGATATGCATCTGTTGGTCACAGATACCTTTAAAAAAAGGTAGGTTCGTGGATCAGAACACCATTCAGTATCTGGTGTGACCACTATTTGACTCATGCAGCGCGACACATCTCATTGGCATAGAGTTGATCAGGCAGTTGATTACGGCCTGTGGAATGTTTTCCCACTCCTCTTCAATGCCTGTGCGAAGTTGCTGGATATTGTGTTCGTTATCCGTAGCTTATGCCTGCCCATACCATAACCCCACCGCCACCATGGGGCACTCTGTTCACAACGTTGACATCAGCAAACTGCTCGCCCACACAACGCCATACACGCTGTCTGCCATCTGCCCGGAGGTGAGCATTTACCCACTGAAATTGGTTACGACGCCGAATTGCAGTCAGGTCGAGATCCTGGGAGGACGACGAGCACGCAGATGAGCTTCTCTGAGATGGCTTTGTGCAGAAATTCTTCAGTTGTGCAAACCCACAGTTTCATCAACTGTCGGTGTGGCGGTCTCAGACGATCCCGCAGGTGAAGAAGCCGGATGTGGAGGTCCTGGGCTGGCGTGGTTACACGTGGTCTGCGGTTGTGATTCTCTAAAACCACGTTGGAGATGCCTTATGGTAGAGAAATTTTAACATTAAATTCTCTGGCAACAGCTCTGGTGGACATTCCTGCGGCATGCCAATTGCACACTCCCTAAAAACTTCTGTGGCAGAAATACACATTTTAGAGTGGCCTTTTATTGTCCCCAGCACAAGGTGCACCTGTGTAATGATCATGCTGTTTAATCAGCTTCTTGATATGCCACACCTGTCAGGTGGATGGATTATCTTGGTAAAGGAGAAATGCTCACTAACAGGGATGTAAAGAATTTGTGCACAACATTTTAGAGAAAAAAGATTTTGTGCGTATGGAACATTTCAGCTCAAGAAACATGGAACCAACACTTTACATGTTGCATTAATATTTTTCTTCAGTGTAGTAGGGAGTTGTAGTTTCCAACAGGCATATATTCTACATAGTTTAGCACAGAAAACGTGGTAATTAACTACAATGACCATAATCCATTTTGCGCCTACTTCTGTGTGGGGCAGACACATAGAGGGAGAGAAAAGACAGAAGAATGTGCAATCGAGAGGTATAGAGAGCAGTTGCTTCGCGAGGTATCTCTACCTGAAAATACATTATCTAAGTGATTGATACAGCAGTCATAAAAGTATGCCTTATTTACTTTGAAGGACTACTCAAAAAGTGATTTTGTCAGACAGCATAGGCAGCAGCTCTATAGAGTTGAGATGATGACTTGGAATGAAATTATAAAGTCATCAAATAAAACAAATGTAATGCACACAACAACTGAAATATTGTGACTGTGAATAAATTATGGTTAATAATACTCATAAAAGTCATATCACTTAGTGATAAGCATTAATGGGCAGTCACTACCCTAATGGGACTTTTATTAATTATTTTATTCTGTGTTGTTACAGCATTCAACCCACATAATGCATAGTGCATTTAATGTAATTAAAAATAAATATTATTTTTTAATAATCTAACTGAAACCGAACCGACCTCAAAAAGCACTAATCGCTCAGCACTACCTTCGGGTCAAAACTTTGCACAACAACACTGCAGGAGCACTCAACAGTGTGCAGGTATCTTTCTTAATGACTTCACTTGTGCACCTGAAAGTTTTCACATGTCATACACTACTTCTAAACTAGAAATGTCCTTTTCACTCACTGCAGAGGGGCGACTCATCAGCTCCATTGGGACAGTCCCGCTGTCCGTCGCACACCTTCCCTAGGACGATGCACACCTGGTCGGTGGGGCACAGCCACTGGCCCGAGGGGCACATGAAAGGAGGCGTGGGGCAGTTCTGCTCATCGCTCATATCCCTGCAGTCGTTGTCGCCGTCGCACACCTAATAATAACGATGACCACAATGGAAACAAGTCGATAGATGTACTCCCGTGTATTTAGAATTTGTCTAATCAAATTCATTCATTCACTAGTTTCATTCACGCACTCATTTTATTCACTCATTTCATTCACTCACCCATTCACCCACCCACTCACTCACCCAGCTCGGAGAGATGCAGTTGCCATTGGCACACTGGAAATAGTTGATGTGGCATGTTATAGGCGGGCATGAGTTGTGTTCGTCAGAGCCGTCCTCGCAATCGTGATGCCCGTCACACTCCCACGCGTCGGGCACGCACAGGCCATCCGTCTGGCACTGGAACTCATCGTTGTGGCAGAGGCCAGGTCCTCGCGTGGCTGCAGACGTAAGAAATTAACAAACTGATTGAGGAGTCCATAAAGGACATTGGAGGGCTGAATATGATACAATTAATATATGATTGAATCTCAGATAAGCATAAATATTTGGCTTGATAAGTCGTTGCAATAAAATTAAAACACAGCCATACTCAAAGTTAGGAATTATAAAGCAATTATTTCTCCTATGGGAGAAATACAACTGAATTTGTCATATGACTTGAAATCTGAGTCAACCCAGGATGATGGCACAGGAAGCAGGACGAGTTGACTTACGACAGCCACTCTCATCTGAGTGGTCCCTGCAGTCGAAGACCCCGTCGCAGCGGTAGATGCTACTGACACATTGGTCCTCACTGGCACAGGCAAACTCATAGGATGAACAGGAGAACTCTGAGAGGAAAGGAAGCGAAGAGGAGGGGTGGTAAAGGAGAAGAGATAAGAGGAAATGGGATGATTGGTGAAGGGAGGAGAAAGGCGAGTAGGAAAATGAATGTGATAAGGGGATGAGAGGCAAAAAAGAGAAGAGCATAGTTGAGAAATGGAAAGGGTGGGGAAAAACATTGCACAACATTGCAAAATACAAATCTTAGATTAACAAGAGTACTTAAAGAAATATAAGCTTATTAAATAGAAATATAAGTTTATTGAATAGAAGTCATTCTCTCTTGTACATCCCAGAACTACAGTGACAGAGCACACAGAGGAGGATAGTCTTAGATTATTCATCGTACCACAGTTCTTCTCATCTGAGCCATCCATACAGTCCTGGTCTCCGTCACACACGTAGGAGCTGTAGATGCAGCGGTGGTCGGGACAGAAGAAGTACCCAGGCTCACACGTAGCGATGGTCCCGTCTGACAAAAGAGACAGAGCAGGGGTTTTTTCTGAATCAAAAAGGGGCTTAGGTGGTGGACGTGACAGGGGTGTGGCAGGGGGCACGGTTGGCCCATCGACACGGCTGAATTTTAGAGAACATTTCAGAGGTCCCCAATCTTGGTGGTGTAGAGAAATGTTTGCTTTTTTACGCTTATTTCCTGCAATTCTACACATTTTGCCATGCAGCTGAGAGAAAATGTTGCAGTTTTAAAGCAAATTTCCTGCAATTCTATGCATTTTGCCATGGCTAATGCTGTGTTCTTTTGTTCAAACATAATAACAAAATATATACTGCTAAATTCATTGTTTTTGGAATTTTCAATACTCAGTGACTGTCTAGCTTTTATTGTGGAGATTGTTAGTTAAAATATATAGGTCTATTATATTTTCTACATACTTTATATCTGGTATAGTCGTTTAATGGTGCATTTCCTGGTTGCTAAAATTCAAATAATTTCAGTTTATGTGACAAAACAAGCAAGTATAGTGTAGAGAATCATTGTACCATCTAAACCTCTGTGAAATATATTTTCCATAACAAAAAATATTGTATTTTCAGCTGTTTGAAGCTAGTGTACAAAACTGAAAGTAAAAGACGCAAAAACTAAACTTAAGAACGGGAAGCATAGAAATAGCGCACACAGAACAGATCTACCGCTTCTTATACTTGCTTTCAATGAGAATGACATATCTATGTTAATTTGGTCGCCCAAAAAGTTACATATTGCAGCTTTAAGTTTACATTGAAAGTGTTTTTCCATCCCGAAATTGTTTTTCTCCCCAAAAAAAGTTTACACAGTTTGGACTGAAAAAACGCTTAGGTGGCCCGTCCAAGGATTTCAATGGCAGAACAATCCCTGACAGAGTTATTAAGACAGAGGTCAATCCTTATAGTTCACGTTTTAGTTTATATTTATTATTTTTTAACTATCCCTTTAACATCATGTCTGTTTGCTACATGTATGAGATGGTAAAGGCTTGAGAAATTACAAAAATCTCTGGGTACTTAGAAGTTGGGACTTGATGAGTCTGCCCCTTCAAATAAAATAACACACAAATCAACAATGTAGTTCAGTTCATATACTGTGAACATATTGCCTGGCTACCCAAATTCCTTGCTCCGCCCAAACGCTACGCCACGCCCACGGACGTTGGTTTCTTGTCCGTAATGAGTCTGGATCTGATTACCTCCCCGACGAGTTCTACAACGTAAACACATTCTAACCATTCTGATTGGTCCCAGAAACCGATGGGTTCGGCCAGAGTCAGAAGTTGAACACACGTGGGTAAAGCAGCGTTTAGAAAATTCATCATTGGCTTCGATACACTGATTGGTTAGAGATTATCCAATCGCTGATGAATTTGTTTTGTACAACACAAACGACTTCAATGATGGCAGTCTCAGACTTAAGTATGTAGCGAACATATAGCAGTGGAAGAATTCCGTTTGAGTCGTCAGGCAAGTAAACATATCCCTAGTCAAAAAATCCAATAGAATCCAATAGAAAATCATATCATATTTTGAACCTATCCTATAGGACTTTATCTGATTTCAGATTTTTCTATTGGATTCTTGTATTGTGTTACTGTACGTAAATATTTATTTTCCCTCTACTTTTTATTTGCATATAAAGAAATGTAAAGATGCTGTGCATTGTAAGGGGAACCCTTGTATGTCATATTGTAATGTCTAATTCAAAGACAAGAAGTTGCATGAATAAGAATCAAATCAAATAACTCTAATGAGTGTTTTGTTGAAAAAGTTGTACTGTACTGGTGGTCATACTTCAAATGAACTTGCAGCCTTGAATCTCTCCCATATTGTGGTGGTGAATAAAACATAAATTAATATAGAACTGTTGTTTTCTGATCAACAAAATGTTTTGTAAATTATATTATTATATTGTACTGGAACAAATGAGAACAAACTATAACTTAATGGGTTAAATTAAGAAAACACTTCTGATTGGGGTGACAAAATTCTGCAAAACCTATAGGATCCAATATGATTACTTTGGATTGCCAATAGGAAAAAAGTAGTCCAATAGGATTCCAATAGGGTTATGATAGAGTTGACACAAACTCTTATAGGATTGTGAGAATCCTATAGGATCCAATAGGATTACTTTTGATTTCCAATAGGAAAAGAGTAGTCCAACAGGATTCCAATAGGATTCTGATAGAGGTGACAAAATCCAATAGGATTGTTAGAATCTTATAGGATCCAATACGATTAATTTTGCTTTCCAATAGGAAAAAAGTAGTACAATAGGATTCCAATAGGAATCTGATAGAGGTGACAAAATCCTATAGGACTGTGAGAATCCTATAGGATTCGATTAGAAAAAGTACTAATCCTATAGGATTTTTTGACTAGGGATACACTTAAGTAACAGTATGTTTATAAAACTGTTTCCGACCCTCCCAATCCTGGCTCCTCCTACTTTTACTCACTGCAGTTCCTCTCGTCCGAGCCATCGCTGCAGTCCTTGTCGGCGTCACACGTCCAGGCTTTGGGGATGCATCTGGTGCCGTCAGTGCAGGTGAACTGTTCCGAACTGCAGGTGAAGGGCAGACGTGTGGGGCAGTTGACCTCATCTGAGCCATCACCACAGTCTTCATGGCCGTCACAGCGCCAGCCGGACAGGATGCAGTGCTTGTTGTCGCAGGTGAACGCCCACGGGGAGCAGGTCATGCCTGGTAAACAGGTAAAGGAAGGAGAAGAGGAAAGAAGCATGAAGAGAATAGCATAGTGGGGGGATATACAGTGGGGGAAAAAAGTATTTAGTCAGCCACCAATTGTGCAAGTTCTCCCACTTAAAAAGATGAGAGAGGCCTGTAATTTTGATCATAGGTACACGTCAACTATGACAGACAAATTGAGATTTTTTTTTCCAGAAAATCACATTGTAGGATTTTTTATGAATTTATTTGCAAATTATGGTGGAAAATAAGTATTTGGTCACCTACAAACAAGCAAGATTTCTGGCTCTCACAGACCTGTAACTTCTTCTTTAAGAGGCTCCTCTGTCCTCCACTCGTTACCTGTATTAATGGCACCTGTTTGAACTTGTTATCAGTATAAAAGACACCTGTCCACAACCTCAAACAGTCACACTCCAAACTCCACTATGGCCAAGACCAAAGAGCTGTCAAAGGACACCAGAAACAAAATTGTAGACCTGCACCAGGCTGGGAAGACTGAATCTGCAATAGGTAAGCAGCTTGGTTTGAAGAAATCAACTGTGGGAGCAATTATTAGGAAATGGAAGACATACAAGACCACTGATAATCTCCCTCAATCTGGGGCTCCACGCAAGATCTCACCCCGTGGGGTCAAAATGATCACAAGAACGGTGAGCAAAAATCCCAGAACCACACGGGGGGACATAGTGAATGACCTGCAGAGAGCTGGGACCAAAGTAACAAAGCCTACCATCAGTAACACACTACGCCGCCAGGGACTCAAATCCTGCAGTGCCAGACGTGTCCCCCTGCTTAAGCCAGTACATGTCCAGGCCCGTCTGAAGTTTGCTAGAGTGCATTTGGATGATCCAGAAGAGGATTGGGAGAATGTCATATGGTCAGATGAAACCAAAATAGAACTTTTTGGTAAAAACTAAACTCGTTCTGTTTGGAGGACATAGAATGCTGAGTTGCATCCAAAGAACACCATACCTACTGTGAAGCATGGGGGTGGAAACATCATGCTTTGGGGCTGTTTTTCTGCAAAGGGACCAGGACGACTGATCCGTGTAAAGGAAAGAATGAATGGGGCCATGTATCGTGAGATTTTGAGTGAAAACCTCCTTCCATCAGCAAGGGCATTGAAGATGAAACGTGGCTGGGTCTTTCAGCATGACAATGATCCCAAACACACCGCCCGGGTAACAAAGGAGTGGCTTCGTAAGAAGCATTTCAAGGTCCTGGAGTGGCCTAGCCAGTCTCCAGATCTCAACCCCATAGAAAATCTTTGGAGGGAGTTGAAAGTCCGTGTTGCCCAGTGGCAGCCCCAAAACATCACTGCTCTAGAGGAGATCTGCATGGAGGAATGGGCCAAAATACCAGCAACAGTGTGTGAAAACCTTGTGAAGACTTACAGAAAACGTTTGACCTGTGTCATTGCCAACAAAGGGTATATAACAAAGTATTGAAAAACTTTGTTATTGACCAAATACTTATTTTCCACCATAATTTGCAAATAAATTCATTAAAAATCCTACAATGTGATTTTCTGGATTTTTTTTCCTCATTTTGTCTGTCATAGTTGATGTGTACCTATGATGAAAATTACAGGCCTCTCTCATCTTTTTAAGTGGGAGAACTAGCACAATTGGTGGCTGACTAAATACTTTTTTCCCCACTGTATTAAGTAAAGGAGGACATAGGTAAAACATGTTGGGTTGTCTGTGTTTGTTTGCTTTGAGAGCACAATAGTTACAGTTACATGATGCTGATTATCTCATTTGACACACACTCATACAGTTTTCATTATTTCACATAAACACACACACAAATGAAAACCACAAACAATCTTGCACATGTACGTTCGCACACTCCCAGTCAAACACAACATGGCTGCACTGTCCCCCACTCATAGAGATACTGTGCCTTGCAAAAGTATTCAGCCCCCTTGGCGTTTTTCCTATTTTGTTGCATTACAACCTGTAATTTAAATTGATTTTTATTTGGATCTCATGTAATGAACATACACAAAATAGACCAAATTGGTGAAGTGAAATGAAAAAAATAACTTGTTTCAAATAATTCTAAAAAATAAATAACGGAAAAGTGCATATGTATTCACCCCGGACCAGGAAGGAGGGCATTCATCAGAGAGGCAACGAAGAGACCAAAGATAACCCTGAAGGAGCTGCAAAGCTCCACAGCGGAGATTGGAGTATCTGTCCATAGGACCACTTTAAGCCGTACACTCCACAGAGCTGGGCTTTACGGAACAGTGGCCAGTAAAAAGCCCTTGCTTAAAGAAAAAAAATAGCAAACACGTTTGGTGTTCGCCAAAAGGCATGTGGGAGACTCCCCAAACATATGGAAGAAGGTACTCTGGTCAGATGAGACTAAAATTGAGCTTTTTGGCCATCAAGGAAAATGCTATGTCTGGCGCAAACCCAACACTTCTCATTACCCAGAGAACACCATCCCCACAGTGAAGCATGGTGGTGGCAGCATCATGCTGTGGGGATGTTTTTCATCGGCAGGGACTGGGAAACTGGTCAGAATTGAAGGAATGATGGATGGTGCTAAATACAGGGAAATTCTTGAGGGAAATCTGTTTCAGTGTTCCAGAGATTTGAGACTTTGACTGAGGTTCACCTTCCAGCAGGACAATGACCCTAAGCATACTGCTAAAGCAACACTCGAGTGGTTTAAGGGGAAACATTTGAATGTTTTGGAATGGCCTAGTCAAAGCCCAGACCTCAATCCAATTGAGAATCTGTGGTATGACTTAAAGATTGCTGTACACCAGCGGAACCCATCCAACTTGAAGGAGCTGGAGCAGTTTTGAATTGAAGAATGGGCAAAAATCCCAGTGGCTAGATGTGCCAAGCTTATAGAGACATACCCCAAGAGACTTGCAGATGTAATTGCTGCAAAAGGTGGCTCTAGAAAGTATTGACTTTGGGGGGGTGAATAGTTATGCACGCTCAAGTTTTCAGTTGTTTTTGTCTTCTTTCTTGTTTATTTCACAATAAAAAAGATTTTGCATCTTCAAAGTGGTAGGCATGTAGTGTAAATCAAATGATACAAACCCCCCAAAAATCAATTTTAATTCCAGGTTGTAAGGCAACAAAATAGGAAAAATGCCAAGGGGGGTGAATACTTTCGCAAGCCACTGTATAAAACAAAAGATTCCCTGACCAAGATGGCCTCCATTTTAGTCACATTGCCAGGATGCAAACGGCCATTCTAGTGCCCCCACCTGTATCAGTGCAGTTGGCCTCATCCGTCTGGTCCATGCAGTCTTTAACCCCGTCGCAGCGGTACGAGTTGGGCATGCAGCGGCCCCCGTCGCAGGGGAAGGAGTAGTCTCCGCAGCTGGTGTCGATAGGGGGGACTGAGTCATCCTTCACGCAGTCCCTCTGATTCTCCTGGAGCTTCATGCCGTAGGGGCAGCCACACACACGGCTAGAGGAGGGCGCGGGGAAGCAGAAGTGGCTGCAGCGTCCATTTGGTACCATGTTGCACCGGCTGTTGAACACTTTGAGGCAGAGAGGAGAAATTAATATAAAATAGAAAGACGAGATTTGCAGAAATTACATGCAAAAACATCTTTGGGTCTTTAAAACCCATGTATTATTTTATGTAGTCTGGGTACCAGTCGTTTTAGCTAACATTACACTCCTTGCCACTCCTTTCATTTGCCAGGAGTGGCAAGGAGCGGAATGTTAGCTAAAAAGACTGGTACCCAGGCTAGTAGAGATGACATTTCACGAGTAACCTAAATGCTAATGCAAATGTTGCGTACTAGGTGTATAAACTCTATTCACAAAACAAATAAGTCTGTAAAATTGCTTATTTTTCACTCACTGCCATGAAGGTCAGCTGTGTAAGCCTTGACGTTCAGGATTCCGGAGATTCCCTTTCGGATAGGGGTAATTTCACCCCCGTCCCTCTTCCGCATCCGGAACACCGACCTGGTCCTCGAGTCTGACACAAACAGGTAATCTGGAAGAAGAGAAGGAAAAAAGGGAGAGAGATAGAGATAGAGAGAGAGAGGAGAGAGTGAGGGAGGGAGGGAGGTAAAGAGAGTGAGAGAGAAAGGGTAAGAGAGAGAGGGAAAGAGTAAAGGGAGAACAAAGAGAGAAAGAGAGGAGAGAAAGAAATACAAGGGAAAGAGAGGGGGTAGAGAGGAGGGGGTAGAGAGAGATGAAAAAGAGAAAGAAGAGAAAAATTAACAAAAGGAAACAGTAAACATGTCATCCCCCAAAAATGATGCAGCTCCCCCCTTGGGCCAATTAGTGCCAATTATTAAAACTTATGTTGTGTGGATTAATGAGAGAGAGAAAAAAAGTATTTTTTCCCTCACTGGAAATCAAAACTTGATAGCTCACAATGGATGGGATGTCAGAGAACGGACTCCACTGCTTGATAGGGAGATGCATTACAGGATAAAGGAACAAACTTAGTGGCAGGTGGGAAAATAAATGTATTTCACAGGTAGATATGTCATCAGAGCTGTTGCGAAATGGTGTTATGTTTTGCTTTTTTGGTCTAAATCTGAATATCAGTTATCAAAATATATAGTTGCAAGCAGTAATTCTGGGGCCCAAGCACGCAATAGCCACATATAAGATACCATGTGGTCAATCGGAGTGACCTTGGAGTGACCTTCTATCATTGTGCAAAGTTTTGTGACAAAAGACCAGGTGGTTATGTAGTGTCATCGAATCATATAGGGAGGAAGAGTAGCAGCATTTTATTTAAAAAATATATTCCCCCACACACAATCGTGGGGGACAAAAAGTCTAATTTGTGGAAATCTAATGGGCAGAGCTTATAGGTCCTTATGGGAAATGTTTTTGTTTATCATGAGGAGATATATATATATAAACATTACATATTTTGCTCTTTTGCACCCCAGTATCTCTATTTGCACATAATCTCTTGCACATCTAGCATTCCAGTGTTAATACGAATTGTAATTATTTTGCACTATAGCCTATTTATTGCCTTACCTCCATAACTTGCTACATTTGCACACACTGTATATATATTTTCTGTTGTATTTTTTTGACTTTGTTTTTTTTACCGCATATGTAACTCTGTGTTGTTGTTTTTATCGCACTGCTTTGCTTTATCTTGGCCAGGTCGCAGTTGTAAATGAGAACGTGTTCTCAACTGGCTTACCTGGTTAAATAAAGGTGAAATAAAAAATAAAATAAACATGACTGTAGGTCAAAGTTTGGTGGGGGACAAAAAGTATAATTTGCTGAAAATCTAATGGGCAGAGCTTATACTGTAGGTCCTTATGGGGAACTTGTTACTCATGAGGGTTCTGCATATATGTATAACATTTCATGGCTGTAGCTCAAACGGGACAAGAGATATGCTTGTTCAAAGTTTTCAGTTGATTACTATCGCACCCCCCTTGGGCCAATCTATGTAATTTTGTAAATGCAGATCTTCATGGCAAGACGCACCATTCACCCAAGTTTAGTCAAAATCGGGCCATGGTCTCTGAGATATTGTGAGTGACTAACGTACGTATGAATGGACGGAGACAGATCCATAGTCCCTAGTGACCCACATGTAAACAGTTTAACACGTAAATGTAGTTCAATTCACAATTACACAAATAAAGATAAGAGCCTTCAGCTCCTCTGATTGTGCCCACCTGCATGGATAGTGATGGAGAAGGGTTGGGTGATCTGCCCGATGTTGGAGAACATCTGTCTGTCGTACCCGTCAATGCCCACGTGGCCTATCTGTTCTAGGAGGGCATCCGCCCAGTATAGCCTGTCATTCCTGCCAACCGGAACCAAGTCAGAAGAGATCAGGTTGCTATTTAGGCTCCCAATCATCATAGGAATCAGCTATGCGTCTTTACATTGATGAGACAAATATTCCTGTGACATGCTAGCAGAGATCTTATCAATTCCATATAAGATTCCAGTTGTTTTAAAAACGTGTTAACTGAGTAAAATTGTGAAGGAACCGGCCATTACTTTAAGAGCTAGAGTGAAATCTTAGGGGACGACCTCCAATTCTCTGAAAAGTGTACACTCTTCCCCACACATTTAAAAGTATTGGATTGGTAAAGCCATGGGCTAGAGGCAGTTTCCACTTTACTTCTTATACCAGTCCTTTCCTTTTAAATCCATGAAGGGAAGTCTCCATCGGCAATCACTCGAGTCCAGTATGATTGGGCAGAAGGGTAGAAAATTGGGACGCATAGAAACTCCCAAACAAACAGTACATAGTATCCCTCCTTACATGTAGTCAATAGTGAGTCCGTTGGGCCAGCCCAAGGTGGTGTTGATGAGGGGAACAGCGTTGCTGCCATCAGTCCAGGACCTCATGATCACCGCTGGCCGGTACCAGTCAGTCCAGAACAGGTATCTGTGGGCCAATATCTTTGTTATAGGACTGTCTAGAGAGAAGACAGTCCCCCCGTCCCCGTCCCCCCCGTCCATGTATTCTTATTCACTGTGTGTCTGTCTATGAGGCAAAACTGATCCTAAATTGTTTATGGTGTGTCTATGTCTGGAAGTTGTGAGATTTATCTGAAACATTATTCCCCCCTGCTGCTGTCTTGGTTGGACTAGGTCTCTCTTCAAAAATAGATTTTATCTCAATGAAACTAACCTGAATAAATAAATATTACATTTAAGTTTAAATTATGTTTCTCACCCCGCACTGGGGTGCACAGCGAGACCCCTGGGGCTCTTCAGGCCTGTCACGATGTCCCGCCTGGACTTGTCGGTCACTCTGAAGGCCACCACCACCCTGTAGGAGCTGGATGTCCAGAAGAGGACCTTGGAGGTCCAGTCGTACGCCATGGCCTCCGCATGGCCCACTCTGTAACCTGTCAGGATCTGCGCGTCTGGAGAACCAAACATTAAATTCCCGGTATGAAAAATGTTATGTCCACAACTCTTATGCTTTCTTTGTCCAGCAACTGACAATTGGATGTGGTATTTTTCCTTTTTAATACCAGAGAACAAAACAGATATGTTGAATGTTATGTATCAGTAACTTCAATATAGCTTGTGGTAGTAAATTAAGTGAGAATTAGTGAGTTGGAGAAATAAATCAATTTAAGGTAGCACTACAGACTTAAATTAGCAATGTAGAATGTGTAACGGTGAAGTCTTATGTGTAAAGTCCTCTTTAGCCTTCTTCTACTTCAGTTCAATATTTTTCCTACTACTAAATCACTTATGTGCATAAAGACAGGAAGCTATTTTTCTATGTCCATACTAACATCTCACTTAGAATGCATGTCCAATACATCGCTTCATTCTAAGTGGTATGCTAATGTCAATATTGGAACAGATCTGATATCGCGGTTCAACACATTGCAATCTTTACTGCCACCTTGTGGTAAAGGCAGGACATGACAGAACGCATTCAGCTAAACCAGGGAGTCCTGATCTAGGATACATTTTCCCCTTTAGATCCTAATGAATAAGATTATACGGACAGGAAAGACCTGACCCTAGATCAGCAAACCTATTCTGAAACGCTTTGTGAACACGGGCCCTGATAGACTACAAACTCACTGGAGCCGTTGGTGTTGGACTTGTAGATGATCTGCCTGCTGCGGTCATTGTAGAACACGGCCTCCTCGTTGCCGTCGAACTCCACGGCAGATGAGGAGAACGTGACCCCCAGGCCGGTAAGCGGCAGAGTCACATCCTCCTGGAGGGACACGTTCAGGGGGATTCCACGCACTGCGTACTGGGTGGCCAGCAGGAGGTAGTCTCTCACCTCTGGAGGGGGACAGAACAATCAGATACTCTTTATTATTAAACTCTTTCCCAAGTGGCAGGACTGTCGTTTTGTTGTTTTACTAATTAATTCAGGATTGGGCTTTTAATAATTGAGGAGACCCCCTCCGTCCCAGTCACTCACTGAAGCAGCTGTGGCGGTCTTCATGGAGGTCGTAACCCAGGCGACACTTGCAGCGGAAGCCAAGGCCGTCATTGTCGGAGCGGTGGCTCAGGACGCAGATGTGCTGACAACCCCCGTTGTTTCGACCGCATGGACTCATCACTGTGGGAGTGAGAGAGAGAGCAGAGTAGGACCGCACACGGTCAATTACAACAATGCTAAAAGCCCACAAAAAACATTAAAGATGGACTCAGTAGTGACTTTTGACTACCATCAAATATCTCTTAAAAAGTTAGATTCATAAATGCATATAAGGATGCTCATGTTCAAAGTCAAACCATCTTAAATATCCCCAAGGTTGTGTATGCTGTGATATCATAGTGTGATGATCAAATCTCACAATGCCTATGGACTTTACTGCAACCAGACAGAGCAACATACTCTCAACCTCCTGCAGAGGTGCATGACAGGCAGAATCAGGCACATTCCAATCTAGTAAAAGTACATTCATTGGTAAGATATACTATATAAAGTACTAGCCTGATTCTAGATTTGTTTGTGCTGTTTTTTCCAACTCCTGAACATGAAAATGACCATAGGGGTTGGCTATTACAACACAAACAGATCTGGAACCAGGCTTATAAAGTACTGCAAGACTGGAGAAAACCATGTCCTTCTTGATAGGCAGTCTGCTGTTCTTCTACTCACCAATGGGTTGCAGCACAGGGTGTGCGACCACAATGTGACCGGGTCTATCTGCGGTGCGGTAGATGAGGATTGGATCGCTACCGTTGAAGCGGTTGGTTCGTATTACCCCCATCTTGGTCCAGTCGGTGAAGAACACATGGTTTTCAAAAACAGAGATGCCAAATGGGTATGGAACCTGGGTGCCACCGTTGAGCACCGTTTTCCTGTGGAGAATTAGCAAACATGGCTAACACTGTAGATGGCAATGATTTGTGCATATAAAAGCACGCTAGTGTAAAGGCGGTGGTTCGGCAAAATATAAGAAGAATACTTTATTATCCATTGTCAATTTGAGCTCATGCAAATTTGTGAGCTGATTTGGGGTTAAGGGCACACAGGCAGGATATGGCATCTAGGATATCTATAATTTTTTCCTGTTTGACTTGGGATTTGGACCAGCAACCCTCCAGTTGCAGATCCACCTCTCGAACCTCTAGGCTACCTGGCACACCCTAATTAGTAGGACCTTGCCTGAGACATGAGGACTTGCATGCGTACCTCTCCAGACCACTGTAGGTGACCGTTTCCACCATGTTAAAGTGGCTGTCGGACCAATAGACCCTTTGGGTGACAATATCCAGGGTGACGCCAGTCGGTATCCCCAGCCTGGTCTTCACCAGCTCCACACGGTTACTACCATCCATGTAAGCCCTCTCCAGCTTCATGTCCTCACTGATGTAGCCGCTGTCAGTGAAGAACATGTACCTTCAAAAAGCAGGAGCCAAGTTAGTTCTTGAGGGTTAGCATTGGAGGAGGGTGTTGATTAACTTGAGTTAGCTAGCGCTAGTTAGCAGCAGTTATTAATAATACAATGGGCAGTACAGTGTGGGAGAGTAACTGAATTCATGATTTAAGCTTGGTTAGGACCAAGATAGCATAATTGTGCTCCAAAAACAGTGTTGGTTTTAGACACATGTAAGGAGAGTCGAAAAAGTTCCTGTAAAAAACATTGACAATCAAATTTCTCTTTCAATCTCCTTGTCCTTGTTTTTCAATGGGTTTGTTTGTCAATGGGTTATATTAATGTAAAGGGGATGGGTTCCATGTTTCATGTCTTTGGTGGAGAGACGTTCAAAGTTCTTACCCCACTGTGGGGTCCAGAGCCAGCCCGTGGGGAGTCAAGAGGTTCTCGGCCACAAGGGTGACCCGGTTGCCTCCGTCAAAGTCACACATGTCGATGCGCTCCACCCTGGCCTCTAGGACGTAGAGCTTGAAGTTGATCCAGTCCACAGCGATGTTCTGGGCACTGTGAACGGCCTCGGACAGCACCTCTTGAATGTCACCTCCATCAAAGTTGGCAGAGTACACCTATAGGGTCAGAGTGACACTAATTTAAAGCTACAATCTGGGATTCTTGAAGAATAAATGGGTATATCATTAATCGCAATTGTTCAAAAACAGCTGCATATATCCCAGATTGCACCATTAACCTCAGTGCAAAAAATGTTTCAAGGGACACGCCATACTGGAAATGATTGCATGACAAATGTGTTAAAAATCGATTTGTAGTATTACTATTGTGTTGCAATGGTAATTTAAATACATTTTAAGCAAGTCTGATTCCGCAAACACAAACAGAGCTGTTTCAAAGTGTGTTTTTAGTTTGTGAGTTTATTACATATAGCAAATATGTTGAAATCTTATTCTTAACATTTAGACTTAGGGAGGAAAATGGGGGATGCTTTTTCAATTTCATTCAAGGAGTACAATTTTTTCAATATGCATGTAATTTGTATTTGATGAAATATCAATATTTTTCAGTGTTTTAGAGTTACAGTGGGGAAAAAAAAGTATTTAGTCAGCCACCAATTGTGCAAGTTCTCCCACTTAAAAAGATGAGAGAGGCCTGTAATTTTCATCATAGGTACATGTCAACTATGACAGACAAATTGAAAAAAAAAAATCCAGAAAATCCCATTGTAGGATTTTTAATGAATTTATTTGCAAATTATGGTGGAAAATAAGTATTTGGTCACCTACAAACAAGCAAGATTTCTGGCTCTCACAGACCTGTAACTTCTTCTTTAAGAGGCTCCTCTGTCCTCCACTCGTTACCTGTATTAATGGCACCTGTTTGAACTTGTTATCAGTATAAAAGACACCTGTCCACAACCTCAAACAGTCACACTCCAAACTCCACTATGGCCAAGACCAAAGAGCTGTCAAAGGACACCAAAAACAAAATTGTAGACCTGCACCAGGCTGGGAAGACTGAATCTGCAATAGGTAAGCAGCTTGGTTTGAAGAAATCAACTGTGGGAGCAATTATTAGGAAATGGAAGACATACAAGACCACTGATAATCTCCCTCGATCTGGGGCTCCACGCAAGATCTCACCCCGTGGGGTCAAAATGATCACAAGAACGGTGAGCAAAAATCCCAGAACCACACGGGGGGACCTAGTGAATGACCTGCAGAGAGCTGGGACCAAAGTAACAAAGCCTACCATCAGTAACACACTACGCCGCCAGGGACTCAAATCCTGCAGTGCCAGACGTGTCCCCCTGCTTAAGCCAGTACATGTCCAGGCCCGTCTGAAGTGCATTTGGATGATCCAGAAGAGGATTGGGAGAATGTCATATGGTCAGATGAAACCAAAATATAACTTTTTGGTAAAAACTCAACTCGTCATGTTTGGAGGACAAAGAATGCTGAGTTGCATCCAAAGAACACCATACCTACTGTGAAGCATGGGGTTGGAAACATCATGCTTTGGGGCTGTTTTTCTGCAAAGGGACCAGGACGACTGATCTGTGTAAAGGAAAGAATGAATGGGGCCATGTATCGTGAGATTTTGAGTGAAACCCTCCTTCCATCAGCAAGGGCATTGAAGATGAAACGTGGTTGGGTCTTTCAGCATGACAATGATCCCAAACACACCGCCCGGGCAACAAAGGAGTGGCTTCGTAAGAAGCATTTCAAGGTCCTGGAGTGGCCTAGCCAGTCTCCAGATCTCAACCCCATAGAAAATCTTTGGAGGGAGTTGAAAGTCTGTGTTGCCCAGCGACAGCCCCAAAACATCACTGCTCTAGAGGAGATCTGCATGGAGGAATGGGCCAAAATACCAGCAACAGTGTGTGAAAACCTTGTGAAGACTTACAGAAAACATTTGACCTGTGTCATTGCCAACAAAGGGTATATAACAAAGTATTGAGAAACTTTTGTTATTGACCAAATACTTATTTTCCACCATCATATGCCAATAAATTCATTAAAAATCCTACAATGTGATTTTCTGGAATTTTTTTTCTCATTTTGTCTGTCATAGTTGACGTGTACCTATGATGAAAATTACAGGCCTCTCTCATCTTTTTAAGTGGGAGAACTTGCACAATTGGTGGCTGACTAAATACTTTTTTTCCCCACTGTATATCGGCCATCATTTCTGATTCTCTGCTGGGCGCACAATATCAAGTGCGCCTATAAGCTATTTAGTGTGGTCTCAATCAAATGATCCATATCCTATAGGGAGTGCATGCTTGGAGAAGTACAGAGCAAAGTATTTTGCTCTGCTGGGATTGTGTAAATAAAACCAGGCTGCATTACACACTGCAATAGATATTACAACCCTGAGCCCATGGCCTGCTATGCTCTTGCTGATCAAAACTTTTGTTTGTGCTGTCTAACCAATGCTGTGCTGTGTAGGCCTACAGTGACAGTTCAGGAGGAGAGTCAAATAATTATTAGGCCTGGTCCACAAAAATCTATACCTTCGGGGCGGACTAGCCTATAGCCTATGTTCTGTTCAATTTGAAAAGGAGAACGCGAAGATGAGAAGGAGGACCGGAGGTCAACTTTCATAGCTTGCTACTACTATAATTGATTTGAATAAAAACAATATGTTTCTTGCCCATGATGTATTTATGAGAGTTATTGACCTCTCAATAAAGCAGTTTCGAGTAACTTACATTGTGGTGCTGAAACTTGAAGCAGCAGCAGCCGCTGCACAATCAATCGGAAATGGACAGCTCATGGTGCTGAAAATAGCCAAATTCAAGTAGGCATAATTCATTTCAACATTTTAATTATACTTTACTAACAAGAGGGCTTTGTGTTGAAGCCTATTGTGATGGAGCCTACCTGTTTGACAGACGAAATTAGGCTATAGGCTGCTATATCCTGTCACGCCCTGGCTCTGGGGACTCTTAAATGTTGAGCCAGGGTGTGGACTTGTTATGTTTAGTTGTCTATGGGTGTTCTAGTTCACGTATTTCTATGTTGGCCAGGGTGGTTCCCAATCAGAGGCAGCTGTTGCTTGTTGTCTCTGATTGGGAACCATACTTAGGCAGCCTGTTGGCACTTTTGTTTTGTGGGATCTTGTTCCGGAGAGGTTTGTGTTTGTTAACCTTAGGACTTCACGTATCGTTTTGTTGTTTTGTTGTTCGTGTTTTAAAGTACTCATTAAATGATGTACGCATATCACGCTGTGCCTTGGTCCGTTACTTATGACGATCGTGACATATCCACAGATTTGTCTGCCAATTCCTCCACCCACCATGCGCTCTTTAAATAGCTTACCTCCTTGTCAGTGAAGGGCTGTTAAGTTAAAACCAGTACTCTAATTGAGGGGGTATGAGAGGATATGCCATAGGCCTACCTTTTATTAAAGAAAATGTCAAAAAGCACAGGTCTACCCATTGTCAGATTTTGAAGAAAATAAAACAGATCCGATTATCTAAAGTGATCTACAACAGCGCTTTGGTCCGCGCTGCTTTTTGCTAGAAAGAAGCTGTAAAATACCAGGGAAAAAAGTGGCTAAGATGTATATGGGGATATCATTGTTTAGTTTCTTTGACATTCAGATGCTGAGCTACAACTTTCTATAGCCGAGGAGACAACAAATTTACAAGGGAAGTAATCTAATTCTGTCACTATCAATTGATTAAGCCATTCACTTTCCGTACAATAGAAGATGTTTGAACCCAGACAGCTTTTAGGGAAACACTTGTGACCTTCTCTCGTTGGGTTAAGCCACGGAAAAAGAGTAGCCAGCAGTTAAAGCTGAAATGTTTCTGTGTCAGTAGGCCTACATTGTATGGGGTGGAAAGGTAGGCCTAACTTTTGAAAATACCATCCATTTTCATTTCAGAGAGGTCCGATTTTCTCCATGTAACCCTTATTATAAATAACGTTCACTACCTTACTTGAATTAATATTGTGTGACATTTTCATTATTGGATACCAAACAGAGACATTTATTTTTCTAACATTTCAAAATGAGCTATTTCTTTAAGGCATGACACACAGAGTATGTTTTTTTGGGGCCTATATTCATACAAATGTTCACAAATGTAGATCTTAGGTCTCCCATGCTTGGCTGCTTCCTTTTGCGCACAATGGGCAAACATTTTCTCTGGCAAAGTCACCTGCACTGTGAGCTAATGCACTGTAAGCGATTTATGTTGTAACTTTTCTTTGACAATTTCCGTTAGGGGGAACTTTAGTTTAATCGGAAATGTAGTAAACAGCGCACTAAATGTGCCAAAACTAATGCAATTGCTCCATATTTAGATCGTTGCGGTGCATTAGTTCACAGTGCAGTGCTGTTTTAGAGCGAGGGAAATGTCACCCGCAAACAGTAAATGCGACCCACCTTCTGAGTGTTAGTGTCTGTCCAGAAGACCCTCTGACTGTGCCAGTGGTACCCCACACCCACCGAGCTACCTCTGCCCTGTGAAGGGACCAGGGTTCTGATAAAGCGCCCATGAATGTCTGCCATCATCACGTCGCCACCATTGGTGAAGATGAGTTGTGGCAAGCCAGCTACAGGGTAGATATAAAGCATAGGTTGTTATCCTGTAAAGGGTTCATTCTGATCCTACTTCTGACACCATGTTAGGTTATTATCTATGGATGAGGCAGAGAGGCCTGAGTTCAAGTTAAACAGTTTGCTGATAAGATAATTGGAAAGAATACAGGGCATACATCCAGGTCCTTGAACTAACGGACTTAACCCTATATAGGACAGTCAATTATATTTTGGAATGATAACTGGTACACTTACTGTAGGTTTACATAAGCACAATTATGCACACAAGAAAGGTCTTTTCACAATGACCCTTTTGGAATAATGACCTTCAATGGAACTCCCACAATTAATCACATCACTTTCACACAATGCTCACTCGTGCTAGCTCACTAGCCACACTACACCACAACTAATAACAAAAACTACAGTTCCCTAAATGTATGTTTCATGAATGTTTGTTTGTTTTCCATTTTATTCATCACACAATTAAGAGATCAATTATATTCTGCATATGAATTAATTAAATTAACTTGAACCTGAACAAAAATACAGTAGTGCTCCCACGTGATCACGAGTGGAGCTAGTGATGTCACATCCTGTACCTGAGATGTTGGCCCTGCAGCGGTTGCCCTGTTCCAGGAAGTATCCATCTGCACAGCTGCAGCGGTGGGTCCCGGGGCGGTCCTCACAGAGCTGGTCACAGATCCCCCAGATGTCACAGTCGTCATAGTCTGGGGAACACAACCACAGTGTTGTCATGTAGCCTTCATCCAAGGTTAAACCTGCAGGTAACTGCCCAAATGAAATAAACACTTGAGTAAATGAGGGATACAAAGTATATAGAAAGCAGGTGCTTCCACACAGCTTAGGGTCATGCATACCATGGCTAGAATAAGAGATCTCAGTGACTTTGAAATAAGGTTTTCAAAGGAGCATAGGGGGTCTGAAGGGTGTGTGTCTGTTTGTGTGTGTGCGTGTGTGTGTGTGTGTGTGTGTGTCACCAGATCTCAACCCAATTGAACACTTATGGGAGATTCTGGAGCGGCGCCTGAAACAGCGTTTTCCATCACCATCAACAAAACACCAAATTATGGAATTTCTTGTGGAAGAATGGTGTCGCATCCCTCCTAGCTAAGATGGGGAGAAGTCTGTCCATAATAAAGAGCTGCTCTACCTTCTTAACAGCACTATCAACAAGGCAGGTCCTACAGGACCTAGTTTTGTCGCAGTTGGACTACTGTTCAGTCGTGTGGTCAGGTGCCACAAACAGGGACTTAGGAAAATTGCAATAGGCTCAGAACAGGGCAGCACGCCTGGCCCTTGGATGTACACAGAGAGCTGACATTAATAATATACATGTCAATCTCTCCTGGCTCAAAGTGGAGGAGAGATTGACTTCATCACTACTTGTATTTGTGAGAGGAATTGACACCCACTTGCGCACAGTACTACATAGAGCCATGACTACATGGAACTCTATTCCACATCAAGTAACTGATGCAAGCACAAAAATTGTATTTAAAAAACGGATAAAAAATACACCTTATGGAACAGCGAGGTCTGTGAAGTAACACAAACATATGCACAGACCTGTGGCGGTCAGTGCCGTTTATGATGAGGGAGGACAATATTTTTTTAATGAGCATGGCCTTATTTCTATTACAGCATGTTGGATGACTGTCATTCATATTCCATTCACTTAGTTCAATGTAACATCGATGGGTTTACGCTACTACATGGTACTCAAATGTTCCCTATGCCCATCATGAGGTTGCTACAACCTAGCCAATGAATGAAAGTTTACAACGTCGAGAGAAAATGTTTAGATGACAGACAGTGACACATGGACAGACAGTACCGCCTTGCACACTCTTGCCTTCATCTAGCTTATCTAGGGTGTAATGATTAGTCCAACAGTTGCAAACGATAGTTTCTATTGGACAAATTCAGGTATTTTTATCCCTATTTCGTTTGCTTCCGTTTAAGAAATGTTTTTCAACAGAATCAGCGGAATGAATACACTCCTGATCACGCATAAACAAAGTTCACTTTCATAGCAGCCACGTTGTATTCATTCTAGCCTCTAAGCACTCTCCTTCTCTCACCTTTTCCGTTCGTTTGTGGACTTCAATGAACAACACATCTGCTGTATGTGACCAGGCGAAAAAAACGTTCCAAGCCAAACCATGTCATAACCGCTACACACAGCCTACATCATTGTCCCAATATTAGCTAAAGTAACGTCCTAGTCAACATAGCTAATATAAATAATTTGTAAGTAAACCCACTACAATCATGCAGTAACGTTACAGTGTATAGTCTGTAAGCAGTTACACCGGCCCCTGTGGCAATAAATGAATAAAACCAAAAGCTTACCTTGACTTGGAAGAGTTCCAGTGTTGTGTTGTATAGTCATAGCCAGCTAGCTAACATAGCATCCCTCTGTTTGAGCCAGGTGTTTGAGTAACTAAACTAGCCATCTGCATTTGCTAGCTAAATAAGTGAAACTGAAAGTGAAAAAAAATGATGAAATCTCTCTCTCTCTTTTGCTTCTCCTTCATTTTTGAATAAATTAATTTGTTAAAAACTGTTCAACTGTCTTTCTCTCTCTTTGAGTCAACTACTCACCACATTTTATGCACCAGCGTAGCTAGCTGCAGCTTATGCTTTCAGTACTAGATTCATTCTCTGATCCTTTGATTGGGTGGACAACATGTCAGTTCATGCTGCAAGAGCTCTGATAGGTTGGAGGACGTCCTCCTGAAGTTGTCATAATTACTGTGTAAGTCTATGGAAGGGGGTGAGAACCAAGAGCCTCCTAGGTTTTTTATTGAAGTCAATGTACCAAGAGGAGGACGGAAGCTAGCTGTCCTCCAGCTACACCATGGTGCTACCCTACAGAGTGATGTTGAGGCTACTGTAGACCTTCATTGCAAAACAGTGTGTTTTAATCAATTATTTGGTGACGTGAATATATTTAGTTTAGTTTTATCTAAAAAGGATAACTGTTTCAATGTTTTACCATTTCTATTTTTTAGGAGATTCACTGAGGAGGATGGTCCTCCCCTTCCTCCTCTGAGGAACCTCCACTGGCACAGACACATGCATACACACACATGATAACATACGCACTATACACACACGTACACATGGATTTTGTGTTGTAGATATGTGGTAGTGGAGTAGGGGCCTGAGGGCACACGCTTAGTGTGTTGTGAAATCTGTCATGAATCTATTTTAATGTTTTTAAAATTGTATAACTGCCTTAATTTTGCTGGACCCCAGGAAGAGTAGCTGCTGCCTTGGCAACAGCTAATGGGGATCCATAATAAATACAAAAATACAAAATAGAGTATGTAGAATCTATGACAAGGTGCATTAAAGCTGTTCTGGCGGCTCGTGGTTGCCCAACACCCTACTAAGACACTTTATATCGGTGTTTACTTTATTTTGGCAGTTACCTGTACCTACACTAACATAATAGAATTGAATAGAATAGAACAGACCTCTGTTTGCCTATGTTACAGAATGGTAATTTTTTAAAATGTCTCTGTTTCTATTTAGTAATCTGTGTGTGGATTCATTCATAGTGTTTGTGACATCACTGCTAGTGGCCTTGTTTCCTTCCTCACTTTCTTCAGCTGTTTCTGTACTTACTACTTCCACCAATCATACCGTTCACACTCAGACTCACCCACACAGGAGCGGCTGTCATTGGCCACGATGAAGCCGTCTGGGCAGTAGCAGGCTCCGCCCTGTGGGGTGTAGTGACACAGGTACTCACAGCTCAGCGCTGAGCACTGGTCCAGGCCTGGGAGAGGGGAAAGAGATGGGAGATACAACTAGTGGTGGAAATGGGCTGGACTGCAACAGGAAATACTATCTACTCCACCCCCCAATGCTGTACTAACACTTTTAGTTTTCAAACAATTTTTTAACACTTTTAGATTTCTGTGTTCCAAATGGCAACCTATTCCCTATAGTCACTACTTTTGACCAGTAGCACAGTAAATAGGGAATAGGGTACCATTTGGGTAGCAGCCGTTGAGGGGCAGTTTCCTGGACACAGATCAAGCCTAGTCCTGGACTAAGAAGCATGTTGAATGGAGATTCTAAAAAGTGCTTTTTAGTTCAGGATTATGCTTAATCTCTGTCGGGGGAAACTTCCTCTGAATGTCCACCATCCATCTTCTACTGGCTGCCTATGACTTACACTATAACGTCAGTATAATTACTAAAGAGGTCATTTTTATGTAGTTGTACACAGTAATAAGTAAAAGTGCAAAAGTCAATCTTTAACAAAGAGTGTGCACGCACATGCTGATGAAGTGATAAGTGAATGTGAGAGCTAAAGCCATAAATGTGACGATGGCTGTCGTAACAGGTGAGTTTGGAGAAACATAAAAACATTCAAGAGTACAGTCTTATTGCATGACTCCAGGACCTTGGCTTTACTGCCCAATGAAACATCACACAGCAGTGAGCTGACTGGGTGCAATACTGTCCTTTTAAGAGTGTGTTTGTGTGTGTGTATGTGTGTGTTAAATACATGTGTATTTTATGTATCTGGAGTTTAAAATACTTTTTCTGTGTATTTGAGTATTTTCAAATACAGGGCCCAAAACAAGTACTTTTATTTGCGTATTTGAATGGTTATTGGTAAAAAACAAATAGTCGACCAAATTGTATTTAAGAGGATTTTAAAATACTTGATTTAAATACTATTTTCAAATACCTGGGTTAAACGCATGGGAGTGTATTTGAGTCAGTGTATTTGACATTTTCAAATAGCTTCCCAAGTGTGTTTCCAAATACATTAAAATGTTAAACTACTTGTCTTTTCAAATGAAATATATCTGAATACTTACTTCGAATGTATGTGAAAGTAATTTAGATATTTTAAATAGTATTTGAACCCAGGTGTGTAAGCGTGTGTGTTTGTGTGTGCGAGTAAATGCGAAAGTATGAGAGTATGTGCGTGCGTGCCTGTGTCCATGCCCACGTCCGAACACATTTAGAGAAAGGTCATGCTGACCAAATTGTTAACCTCATAAAACCCAGTACAAAGGTGTGCCCAGTAGTAAAACCTGTCAGATAGAAGACGAGACTCACTGCAGGTTTGCTGTGCGGTGGTGTTGGTCTCATCTGTTCCTCTGGGGCAGTCTGGTTTGCCGTCACACACCTTGCCCACTGGCACACACATGGAGGAGCCTGGACAAGGCCACTCACCAGGGTAACAGTCTCGGGAGTTACTATCTGAGAGAGCAAAGACAACACATTTCATTTATCACCTTTTGCTGGGTAGGCCTCAATGACACAGTTATTTTTATCCAATAATTATACATTTCACGCAGCTTTGACTAAAATGTAAACGCTTTGACTATAATGGCAATATAATTATTGCTTGGATAACCTTATTTACTATTATGTATTGATTTATTTTTCACTCTTTGTGCAGCGCGCACTGCACAGAACACTGGAAGAATTATCACTGAATTATCACAGTGAATTATTATAACGTTTGTTTATGTGTCAATTAATCCCGTAAGGAATGGGTTGCCAACTGCCGATTTGACACGAAAATAAAATGTCATTAATTCATTCATTCGTCATTCATTCATTCGTTCGTCATTCATTCATTCGTCATTCATTCGTCAATGTTTTAGGGCTTTTTTTTAAATGTGTTTTGTTTCCATTCACTTTAGTATGACCACTACTTTGAATATTTACTTTGCTACACATACCGCTAGAATGTTATTTGTTCCTCTTTTATGTTCCTCTCTGTCACTTATAAACATATTACCGTTTAGATTTCCAAATCAACAATGTCTCAATCTTCATAGTCAGTGACATAATAAACTGTCCAAGATTTCCTAGTGAGTTTCTCACCACATCCGTTCTCGTCACCGTAGTCCCCACAGTCGTTGAACTCATCACACACCCAGTTCTGAGGGATGCAGCGGCCGCTGGAGCAGGTGAACTGAGTTCCACTACAGCTCTGGTACTCTAAGGGGAAGAATATCATGCAATACAATGCAATACAATACAGTGTGTGTGTGTGTGTGTGTGTGTGTGTGTGTGTGTGTGTGTGTGTGTGTGTGTGTGTGTGTGTGTGTGTGTGTGTGTGTGTGTGTGTGTGTGTGTGTGTGTGTGTGTGTGTGTGTGTGTGTGTGTGTGTGTGTGTGTGTGTGTGTGCGCGTGTCTGTCTTTCTGTCGGTCTTTCTGTCTGTCATTTTACAAAGCCATGACTAACCATCAAATCTGAATGGCTGCTCCCAACATGAAAAAATACTACAGTTTACTATAGAATTCTGTAGTAAACTGTACTAACCTGAAGAATACTATGTATACACTGTAGTATCCCTCGATCATGTGTAGTATTTACTATGGCACTTTGTAGTATACTGTAGAATACTATAGTAAATACTACAGTATTATCCGCAAAAATAACGCTGTAGTAAATACTACAGTAATGTCTGCAAAAACACTACAGTAAATACTACAGTATACTACAGTCCGCAAAAACACTACAGTAATTACTATAGTACTATATTACTATAGTATACACTCACGTCCGCAAAAACACTACAGTGAATACTACAATAAAGTTCGCAAATAACAATACAGTGAAACCTCCATTAGATTCTGTATGGTTGATATTGTTGAGTTGATATAGCGAGAGGTACAAATGTTTGAAATAGCAATCTCAGATGAACACATATTTACGCCAACGTTTTAGGACTTCACCATGTTTTTGTTGTGAGGTAAGAATATACTATGTACTATGGGTGGTCTATGTCCTTCTTACCACAGCCTTGCTCATCGCTGTTGTCCCCGCAGTCATCCCAGTGATCACAGATAAAGGACACAGGGATACAGTAGCCATTGGTGCACTGGAACTGGTGCAGAGGACATTGCTGTGTTGCTAAGAGACACAATGTAATATACTCAGCAAAAGAGCAGACATACAGGAAAATGTAATAAACACATTAATCTTATGTCAACCCATATGCCTGACATATATTAAGTATATATTTTGTGTCTTCATTTGTCATTGTCATTCAAAATGGGATAAATGCATGACTGTGATTATGTCAAACCATCATTTCTTAATTGGGCCATATATTTTATCATCCTGCTAGGTGTCTTTGGTGTTTTGGGTCAAGACTACTCCCTCAAACAGACCATTATGTGATGTTATCTTCAGTTGAATGTTCAGACTCTCTTGAGCCACTGAAGTTCAAATTACTAACTCTATTAAGGCTGTATAGTTCGATTCCCCTGACCCATCTGACTTACTGCAGTTGGATTCGTCTGAGCCATCCCGACAGTTCTGCAGCCCGTTGCAGTGCTGCGAGTTATTGTAGCAAGCTCCATTGGCACAGGTTTTCTCAGTGCAGCTGGGGTAGACTGGAGAATAACACACACACAAGGGTTGGGGTCAATTTTGAATTGAAATCAGTCAATTCAGGAAGCAAACTGAAATTCTAATTCAATAAGTGAGAAAAGGCCATCTATGTTCAATTCATTCTCAATAAACTGAAAAGGAGAAGCAATTTACTTCAAAAGTTTAAACCTTTTTGTATTTTAATTACAAATCACTCCTTGAATTGGCTGACTTCAACTTGAGATGACCCCAACCCTGACACACACACATACTATAAGGTAGATTGTCACGTTGCACGTTTTGTCACAAGATCTCAAAATGGTTGTGGGGACAAAATTGTGACAAAGCAATGAGTTAAATGTGACAATGTGACTGAGGAGTGTCCCATTTTACTTCCTGTTCAGAAAGAATAATCCAAACCATAAAGTAATTGAGAATTATATAGTTTAATTACGATAGACTTGAACCACTTTCTTGAGTGGAGAATAAAGTCTACTTCTATTTTGCCACATTAAGATGACCAGTGGCCAGTAATAGGAGATGCAATCTGAGTTAACAACGTAACAACCCCTAATTAAAAATCAAACCATTTGGTGACTAACGCATATCTAGCAGGAACAAAACTGGAATGCTTCTTAAAATATTAATAAGAACAAAATGGGTTGTAAAGGTAGTCCCATAAACAATAAAACAGTCTGACTTTGCACATTTGCAAATCCCAAAAATTGCAGTATCATTCCCTATGAACATATAGTACATACATACAGACTGCCTACATCTATCATACAGTACATCACAAGCATCTACTAAATAACACTCAATCATGTGAAAATGTGTTATCGTCAAAATAGACAAATGTCCACAACCTTTGCTAGCAGCACAAATGATCTACTGTAGATCTACTGCAAATTAACCAGACAAGTTTTAAGAACCTTAAACTACAGACCAATCTTATTAAGGAATGTGGATTTAAAAACTTTACTGCAGTTGTTCTCATCTGAGTTGTCCAAGCAATCCTTCACACGGTCACATCGGTACACTTTGGGAATACACTGGCCCTCCTGGCACGTGAACTGGTGTGGTCCACAAGTCTGCTCTCCTGAAAACGTAGAACACGAGCACATAAATCATAAGGTATGTCAATGTAATGTAAATGTAAGACGTAAAATGGATAAGGAGGGATTTCACATTCCTGTCGCATTATTGTTAATGTCTTATTTTTTTATTTTTTTTGTACTTATTACCCCCTTTTTTCGTGATATCCAATTGGTAGTTATAGTCTTGTCCCATCGCTGCAACTCCCGTACGGACTCGGGAGACGCCAAGGTCGAGAGCCATGCGTCCTCCAAAACACGACCCTGCCAAGCCGCACTGCTTCTTGACACACTGCTCGCTTAACCCAGAAGCCAGCCACACTAATGTGTCAGAGGAAACACCGTACAGCTGGCGACCGAAGTCAGCATGCACTGCGCCCGGCCATAAGGAGTCGCTAGAGCGCGATGGGACAAGGACATCCCAGCCGGCCAAACCCTCCCTTATACCGGACGACGCTGGGCCAATTGTGCGCCGCCTCATGGGTCTCCCGGTCGCAGCCGGCTGCGAGACAGCCCGGGATCAAACCCGGATCTGTAATGATGCCTCTGGCACTGCGATACTGTGCATTAGACTGCTGCGCCACTCGGGATGCTAATGTCTTATTTTGGGGGCAAGGCGTTACTGAACATAAATATTAACGCAACATGCAACAACTTCAAAGATTTTACTGAGTTACAGTTCATATAAGGAAATCAGTCAATTGAAATAAACTCATTAGGCCCTAATCTATGGATTTCACATGACTGGGAATACAGGTATGCAACTGTTGGTCACAGATAACTTTTTAAAAAGTGTGGATCAGAAAACCAGTCAGTATCTGGTGTGACCACCATTTGCCTCATGCAGCAAGACACATTTCTTTTGCATAGAGCTGTTCAAGCTGTTGATTGTGGCCTCCATCATTCTTAAATGGAAGAAGTTTGGAACCACCAAGACTCTTCTTAGAGCTGGCCGCCCGGCCAAACTGAGCAATTGGGGGAGAAGGGCCTTGGTCAGGGAGGTGACCAAGAACCCAATGGTCAGTCTGACAGAACTCCAGAGTTCCTCTGTGGAGATGGGAGAACTTTCCAGAAGGACAACCATCTTTGCAGCACTCCACCAATCAGGCCTTTATGGTAGAGTGGCCAAACGGAAGCCACTCCTCAGTAAAAGGCACATGACAGCCCACTTGGAGTTTGCCAGAGGGAAAGATGATTGGAGCAAAGTACAGAGAGATCCTTGATGAAAACCTGCTCCAGAGCGCCCAGGAACTAGGACTGGGGCTACGGTTCACCTTCCAACAGGACAACAACCCTAAGCACACAGCCAAGACAACACAGGAGTGGCTTCGGGACAAGTCTCTGAATGTCCTTGAGTGGCCCAGCCAGAGCCCGGACTTGAACCCGATCTAACATCCCTGGAGAGACCTGAAAATAGCTGTGCAGCGACGCGCCCCATCCAACCTGACAGAGCTTGAGAGGATCTGCAGAGAAGAATGGGAGAAATCCCCAAATATAGGTGTGCCAAGCTTGTAGCGTAATACCCACGAAGACTCGAGGCTGAAATCGTTGCCAAAGGTGCTTCAGCAAAGTACTGAGTAAAGGGTCTGAATACTTATGATATGATATTTACGTTTTATTTATTTTTTAGCAAACATTTTGAAATAGGGTTTTGTGTGTAGATTGATGAGGGAATAAAACAATTTAATCCATTTTACAATAAGGCTGTAACGTAATAAAATGTGGAAAACGTAAAGGGGTCTGAATTCTTTCCAAAATCACATTAACACCGAGGTAAAATTAGTTTAATATTGGATATTCCGTGGATATTCGGTTTTCTCTCGTCATTAGCAATTGAACCAAGCATGCCATAACTATAAAAATGGTAGATTATGAGTCAGGGGTGGATGGAGAAAAATTCACACTCTTTTTTTTAAATAATAAGATTTCGGATTTCAATCTTCAATAGTCTTAGACAAAGCATGGCATGACCATGAAAATGACATGTTCAGAATCAGGGTAGAATGTACAAAAATCCACAACCTTTTATTTTTTGTTGTTTCTTTTTTAGTTTCTTTTTTTGCTTTCAATCTTCAATAGCTCTTACACAAACCGTGACATGACTATGAAAATGATATATTCAGAATCACGAGAGGATGGACAAAAACCCATTGCTTTTCTTCCTATTTAAATTTAGTTTATATATACAGTACCAGTCAAGAGTTTGGACACACCTACTCATTCAAGGGTTTTTCTTTATTTTTACTATTTTCCACATTGTAGAATAATAGTGAAGACATCAAAACTATGAAATAACATATATGGAATCATGTAGCAACCAAAAAAGTGTTAAACAAATCCAAATATATTTTATATTTGAGATTCTTCAAATAGCCACCCTTTGCCTTGATGACAGCTTTGCACACTCTTGTAAAAATAAAGAAAAACCCTTGAATGAGTAGGTGTGTCCAAACTTTTGACTGGTAGTGTATGTGTCACTGTTAAATAATGATATACAGTTGAAGTCGGAAGTTTACATACACTTAGGTTGGAGTCATTAAAACTCGTTTTTCAACAACTCCACAAATTTCTTATTAACAAACTATAGTTTTGGCAAGTCGGTTAGGACATCTACTTTGTGCATGACACAAGTAATTTTTCCAACAATTGTTTACAGACAGATTATTTCACTTATAATTCACTGTATCACAATTCCAGTGGGTCACAAGTTTACATACACTAAATTGACTGTGCCTTTAAACAGCCTGGAAAATTTCAGAAAATGATGTCATGGCTTTAGAAGCTTCTGATAGGCTAATTGACATCATTTTAGTCAATTGGAAGTGTACCTGTGGATGTATTTCAAGGCCTACCTTCAAACTCAGTGCCTCTTTGCTTGACATCATGGGAAAATCAAAAGAAATCAGCCAAGACCTCAGAAAAAAATGTTAGACCTCCACAAGTCTGGTTCATCCTTGGGAGCAATTTCCAAACGACTGAAGGGACCACGTTCATCTGTACAAACAATAGTACGCAAGTATAAACACCATGGGACCACGCAGCCGTCATACCGCTCAGGAAGGAGACGCGTTCTGTCTCCTAGAGATGAACATACTTTGGTGCAAAAAGTGCAAATCAATCCCAGAACAACAGCAAAGGACCTTGTGAAGATGCTGGAGGAAACAGGTACAAAAGCATCTATATCCACCGCCATAAAAAAAGCCAGACTACGGTTTGCAACTGCACATGGGGACAAAGATCGTACTTTTTGGAGAAATGTCCTCTGGTCTGATGAAACAAAAATAGAACTGTTTGGCCATAATGACCATCGTAATGTTTGGAGAAAAAAGGGGGTTGCTTCCAACCGTGAAGCACGGGGATGGCAGCATCATGCTGTGGGGGTGCTTTGCTGTAGGAGGGACTGGTGCACTTCGCAAGATAGATGGCATCATGAGGAAGGAAAATTATGTGTATATATTGAAGCAACATCTCAAGACATCAGTCAGGAAGTTCAAGCTTGGTCGCAAATGGGTCTTCCATATGGACAATGACCCCAAGCATACTTCCAAAGTTGTGGCAAAATGGCTTAAGGACAACAAAGTCAAGGTATTGGAGTGGCCATCACAAAGCCCTGACCTCAATCCTATAGAAAATGTGTGGGCAGAACTGAAAAAGCGTGTGCGAGCAAGGAGGCCTACAAACCTGACTCAGTTACACCAGCTCTGTCAGGAGGAATGGGCCAAAATTCACCCAACTTATGGTGGGAAGCTTGTGGAAGGCTACCTGAAACATTTGACCCAAGTTAAACAATTTAAAGGCAATGCTACCAAATACTAATTGAGTATATGTAAACTTCTGACCCACTGGGAATGTGATGAAATAAATAAAAGCTGAAAGAAATCATTCTCTCTACTATTATTCTGACATTTCACATTCTTAAAATAAAGTGGTGATCCTAACTGACCTAAGACAGGACATTTTTACTAGGATTAAATGTCAAGAATTGTGAAAAACTGAGTTTAAATGTATTTGGCTAAGATGTATGTAAACTTCCGACTTCAACTGTATATATATAATTTGCATAGTCATGGCATGCTTTGTTAAAGAGCTATTGAAGATTGAAGATGTATTTTTTTACTGTGTATTTTTCTCCATCCACCCCTGATTCAGAATATACCATCTTCATAGTCATGGCATGCTTGGTTCAATAGCTATTGATGACAGAAAACGGAATATCCAATATGAACAAATTTTACCTCTGTATTATAAACAGTGAGGGAGATAGGCAACAGTCATGTCTTAATCCCCAGGAATAAGACAATACCACATTCGAGAATATTTGAGCCGTTGAGATGCAGAAACTCTGCTGCCTTGTTATCTCTAAATAAAGTCAAACTGTAAGATAAATTACTCCTGACACTTGATATGAAATCGTGATGCAAGTGTAACACCCCCATACGTTTTGCAAATTCGTAACATATTGTATGGTTTTCAAATTCATAACATCTACTGTAACACGTTTTGCAAATTCGTAACATATAATACGAATTGTAATTCGTAACATATCATACTAAATGGAGTGTCTCGGATTTATGTACCGAGTACCATGTTGAGATAAGACCAAGCTGTGTGAGGTCAGGGCCTGTATGTATAAAGCGTCTCAGAGTAAAATATTGGTCTTAAGTGAGTGATATCCAGAGGAAACTGGAACCCCATGTAACCTGAAGTGAAGTCTTGTGAACTTGTACGTACCGCAGGTTCTCTGTTCATCGGAGCCGTCAGTGCAGTCCTCCTCCCCATCGCAGACAAACTGGAGGGAGATACACTCGCCTCCCGTCACACACTTGAACTGCTGGGAGCTACAGGTTGGAGGTGCTGCCACACAGAAATACACAAGGGTCCATATTCACAAAGAGTCTCAGAATATGATCTAGGATCAGTTTTTCCTTTTAGATTACAATGACAAAGATTATATGGACAGAGAAGAACTGATCCTAGATCAGCACTCTTACTCTGTGAAGCTTCATGAATAAGGCCCAGGACAAGTTATGTATAGGGTGTTATTCAATCAAAACCTATAACCCAGTGTCTGAGATTTTCAAATACACTCAAACAAATTTGAATTGAATGTTATCTGGTACAGCTAGCAGCATGTTCAACATTTATAAGAGCATCAACTGAAGCCATGTACAGTATAAGGATTTCCAAGATCATGGTACCGGTGATACTCACGACAGTTGAGCTCATCAGAGTCATCTGTGCAGTCCTTGGTTCCATCGCACCTCCAGTCTAAGTCAATGCACTGACCGTTGGCACACTGAAACTTACCATTGTCACATTGGCCTTCAAAAAAGAGAGTGCAGCGGTCAGTAGCACAGTCAGTGTGGTAACTGCAGTATGGTTGACTTGTTAAAAAATAAACAGCTTAGGGCCCCCAAAAGGCTAGGGCCGGCTCTGACTGCACGTGTGGTTATGGATGTAGGTACGCAGACCCGCGAGCCACTGCGGCCCCTCAAGATGAGTTCAGATTTTCTGTGACCCCCACCCCATCCCTTATCTAAACCATTAGAATATCATATTTTACACTCCTGGATAGTCTACAGAACTAGAGAACCTTTATCATTTCATGTCTTAATACTAATGATTTGTTGTACTTTTCAATAGACAAAACGACATGATGTGAAATAAAAAATGACAGTCTTCAGTGCATTTGAACAAAACTGAAATAGAGATGGCCTATCCGTTAATAAAACATCTTTGGATTTCATCATCTGGTTGAATTTATTAGAAAAAAACATTTTACTGTTTCCCTTAACAATAAGTAACAGTGTTTATGACAACTACAGCTACTGTTTCGTCTAATGTGTACGGCATTTGAACCCTACCACATGATGGACCTTTAAAAATATAGTTAATTATTGTCCATAAATGCAGTCAGAGCACATCCTATGACCTTGAAACTCATGAGATGAGTCCTTGATCATATAGTTGACCAAACCATGTCATCATGTAATACATTTGAAAGGAAATACATATTCATACATATTCATAATCAATCAGCTACTCCATTTAAAAATAATAATTTGATGACTTCTTTCATCTGTACAGCTCTAAAGCAGACATATTTTACATTCATATAAATCAAAATGTGTGCAGTTTTTTGTAAATCTAACGATTTATACTGTTTGTCTATAAAAAATAACAATAAAGAAATGTTTCAAAACATATTTGAATCACCCCCAGAATTCTAAACTTAACATGTCTACACAATTTCACATCATATCTCATGACTTTCTTTTCTGAAGGAACCTGTGGAATAATAGAATAAGGTCAGCACACCTATGGATCTTGGTTAGGCCTGTGGTAGCAGACTTTTTTTATTTTTCTTTTATGTTTGAGAGGTTTGGGCATTTGGGTGCACTTTGCATTCTGGAAAGCATATTGAATATCTAACTGTTCAACTAAGAGGACACTTTTCAAATCATGTAGAAAGACTGAATGATTCAATAAATTCAATTTAAAAAACCTAATGCATTATCACTGTGCCATAGATGCAATACTTGTTCTATAACAATTTGTTAAAGTAAATTAAAACAGATAGTAATACACACGTAATTTTTTCAAATCATACATACCTTGAGTAAGCTGAATTCGTTGAGAGAGCAGTAAGAGAGACAGGACAAGTAGACCTAAGAGGTCCATCTTCAAGCACCCTCTCCCTTTAGTCAATACTCTCTTTTCTTAGTTTGGGTATTAGTTAGTATGATGAACTAAATTGATTCATACTCAATCTTAACTATCACCTCTCTTCCCTCTAACCCCAGTGTAAACCAGAGTGTCTTTTGGATGAAGATTTCTAAACCCAAATGACATAGGGTCCAATTTGAAACACATAAAGTATACAGCTTTTTATGACTCTCTCTTTTACATGAAATTCATCTAAGATTAACTTGTACCGGTGGAGATGTTGTCCACATCAGCAAGAAAACAACCCAGTCATTTTTGTGCAACAGGAAGACAGGAATTGTTATTTTCGTCCTGGTTTTGAAAGATCAGATCACATCAATCAAGACCCATTTTAAAGCGACAACTGTTCAATTTGCATACCATAGAAGAATGGGTCACCAACAAAATGTTTAACAATGGAGCAATTCTCACAAATATTTGGTTTTTGAGCAGACGCTCTTATCCAGAGCGATTTACAGGAGCAATTAGGGTTAAGTGCCTTGCTCAAGGGCACATAGACAGATTTTTCCCTATTTGGCTCGGGGATTAGAACCAGCAACCTTTCGGTTACTGCCACACGCTCTTAACCACTAAGCTACCTGCCACCCCTACTGGTCGAAATATCTGTAGTGCTCAAGGAACTACATTCTATGAGAGCAATGTTACTTTTATCTAAACAAAATCTGAAAACATGCTGAAATCTGATGAAGCATTACTTTTTCCCGAAGACCTACCGTAAATATAGTTACAAAGACACATTCAAAAAACAAGAATTTGGGGATACTAATAAATATAAATTCTGAGCTGTCAAAAGGTAGAGGAAGGGAGAAATCTGGCAACCTTTACAAACTCCCCTGCTGACCTCAAACCTAGCCTAGGTTATGTACCCGCAGGCTAGTTTTACAGAAATACTAATAATTCCATCTAAGCGTAATTTTAAACACATTTCTAAGATGGAAGCGTGTACCTTTACACTTTACAGACATTATTCAGAAGTGTTATTGGACACCAATTATTAATAGCCAGTGCAAATTGCCCCCTGTTTGTTACTGAAATTCATGAAATGTAAACGGTAACATCAAACTGGTATAGGTTAATAAAAATGATAAAATATGAAAATAATTAAAAAACAATTAGATAGGCTATTTATTTATTTTATTAACTTATTAGTTAAGAGTAAATATGTAGTTATGTACATCATTAAACTAAAAGTGTCATCTGTCTTGATCACATGAATATTCCTTCAAATCAATTCCACATTGACATCTTCAATAACAAGTGCGAGTGGCGCAGTGGTCTAAGGCACTGCATCGCAGTGCTAGCTGTGCCACTAGAGATCCTGGTTCGAGTTCAGGCTCTGTTTGCGACCGGGAGACCCATGGGCGGCGCACAATTAATCCAGGGTTGTCCAAGGTAGGGGAGGGTTTGGCCGGCAGGGATGTGGGTTCGTTTCCCACGGGGGGCCTGTATAAAAAAGACATGTATGCATTCACTAACTGTAAATCACTCTGGATAAGAGTGTCTGCTAAATGACTTAAATGTAAAATAGGTGATTGACATTTAATATGCTGTAAAAAAACACAAGATTAAGTTGATTATTCCTGTTCATATTTTGATAAAATGTAACTGCTGTTGCCAATCTGTATGGTTGACATTATTATTCACTCTCATTGGTAAGGGAAACGTGGGATAGGCTACATAAAGTTGCAGAATCAACAGTACATTTTAGTTTTGTTCACCATTAATACATTGTTTCTCCAAATGCCATATTGAATATTCACTGGGCAGAAACAATGTTATGACATGGGACTATACAAACTCTTGATTACCATCACTTATACACCATTGCAGCAGGTAGCCTTGATGTTAGAGAAGGGAGCCTGTGATGGGGAAATTTTGTCGGGAAGTGAGCTGGCAACAAGAGGGTTGCTGGTATAAAATCCTAGATGCCATCGCGCACTTGAGCAAGGCACCTGACCCCCCCCCCCCCACCACAATAACTGCTCCAAGGGGGCCCAGTGTGGCAGCCACAAGCTCCAACGTGTAGCCTGTGTGTCTTTCGGAGGGATTGGGATAAAGCAAAAGCCCAATTACGGTTGGACCTTGTGTACAATTGTTGAATAAAGTGATCTTAATCTTAAAATACAGAACTGCTTCCAGACAGCACACGTTACATATTTGCAATATGATACACTCACTAAAGAAATTCCATTATGTACAAAAACACACAAAAAAAATCTTAGTGTCTGTCTGAATTAATAACCAAACGCAGCTGTACAATCAAAATTGATTTTTTTCCCTTTTCTTTATTCCAACATACAGAAGCCAGTCTCATTTACAAAATGTATTGTGTAAAAGTCATACTGAACTGTGTGTATCATTGAACAATTTTACACACATTCTGTTTATTTATATTTGACTATATTTACATGACATATACAATATGTATTAAGATGGCACATTAAAGGATAAAAGGCATTATTTATGAGTAAATTGTTATTTCTAAACCTTGATTGAATATCAGCAAATTCATAGACGTGCAAGAGATCAAACAGATAAGTGCGAACTACACCAATAAATTCCCGACATCAATTTATCTGGGTTCAAGTCCATATTCAAATTAATAAATAAGAAACATTTAAAACGACAGACCCAAACAATCATAATTTAATGATGATTTAGCACGTGAAATTTGGGACTTTCATGTTGACATCTTGCATTGATGTTAATGTAAGATTTGCATGAGTCACAACAGTTTCAGCTAAGTCAAAGATTAAGCCCTCATGTATCACACAGGAATACAGTATTGGAATGATATTGGAAAATACATTCATTACAGTTATACAATCAGGACATGTGAATGGATTAACTGATACTTAAAAACATAAGAAAAACTGAGGGACAATACAGTAGTAGCCTTTTGGCTACATCAATTTCAGAAGCTTGGATACACCGCCCACTCTTGGACTGAATGGTCACTGCAACTCAACAATAATTTATTGTACAAAAAAAAGATTGATACACAGTGCATAAAAGTTGAGTAGAACATAGGGAAGAATCACAAGTAGGACTATTCAAAAACCATTGTTATTGCTTTCTGATTTCTAAGCATTTGCGTTCTGAAAAAAATGTTATCCTTAGTTGACTGTTCCAGTGGGTCTTCAGTTTCTTCTTCCATTGTCGTGTGTAAAGTAGGGGTTGTCCTGGCCTTGGCTCTGGTAGGGGTTGTCGTCTTGGGGTCGGCTCTGGTAGGGGTTGCTGCCCTGACTTCCGCTCTGGTAGGGGTTGCTGCCCTGACCTCCCCTCTGGTAGGGGTTGCTGCCCTGACCTCCGCTCTGGTAGGGGTTGCTGCCCTGACCTCCGCTCTGGTAGGGGTTGCTGCCCTGACCTCCGCTCTGGTAGGGGTTGCTGCCCTGACCTCCGCTCTGGTAGGGGTTGCTGCCCTGACCTCTGCTCTGGTAGGGGTTCCTGGTGTTGAAGCTCCTTGTGTCATCAGGGTTCTGGTAGCCACCAATCTAAAACACAAAACAACATCTGTATCTGACACTACAGTGAATAATTCATAACAATTTGGCACATTACATTTTAATGACATCATTTTCTGGTTGTAACTAGTGTTTTGGTTGAGAAGACATATTACAACCAATACATTTCATAAAAATACACTTTTGTATTCTTTAATGAATGAAGTTGAACGCAAGTGCTTGAAATGTTCTTCAATAAATTGTTTTTGGGGGGTTAAATTGGCCCAGTTCTTTGTACTATTCGGTAATTTATATGTACTTCACATCTTAAGATACTTTACTCTGAATATACTTTTTGTTCATATTGTTTCTTCTTTAATATAATATATTTAATGGATTCATAGAATACATAACACATTTTAAACGTTTCCTCAAATTATTGGTAAGAAAATCCTCTGTTGATCAAATAAAATGATTCCTTTTTACATTAAATAATATTGTCACTTATCTTATAGTAAGTGGCAGTATAAGGGCATGATAGTACTTCTTCAAGACATGATAGACGTTACCAAAAGGTGGCATTTTTGTAGTTGGGCATATAACGGTTACACTCATCATAATATTTGTATGGTTACACACCCCACCACATACACACCAACTAGTCTCATTAGTCCATTTTCGAACACGTTTCACCCCAAACTTAATTGAGCATCTGGTGCAATTACGCAAGATTTTAGTTCTGGTTGTCCGAGATTATAAGACATATAAAGTCATACTTTGGTAGTTATCTGGCCAGATGAACTCATGTGTCTTTTCCCCCCTCCTTTCTCACTCATTCTTCCTCTCTCCCTCCCTAGGTTCTTACCCCTCCTTTGTCTCCCCTGGTCACCAGTGCCTGTCTGCTGCCGCTCTCCGTCATCTCCAGGTTGCTGCCACGGTCCCAGCTGCTGTTATTGTTGGGCATGGCCCGGGGGATCTTGGGTACGCCCGCAAAACCTGAACTGGCATTGGTCACCCCCCCATTGGTTAAGGCCGATGCCCTGAAGTCCTTGGCGGGATAGGGGCTGGTGTAGGTAGGAACCTCAGCGTTCTTAGAGGACTTCTTGGAGGAGCTCTTCTTGGGTGTCCTATAGAAATTGACAATACACGTAAGATTTAATAACTACATTTTATACTACATTAGAGACAATTGTGGAATTGTAACAAGATTAAAGATGAATTTTATTTGATTAAAAGATGGTGTAAATGTTGTCCTCTGTGTTTGTGACTCACTTGCGTGCAACTACTGGCAGCAGGATTAGTGTGACGAGTAGCAGTGCACCAAGAACAGTGCCGACAATCACCAGTATCAACTTCCATGCTGCAGAGAGACAGAGGGAGAGAGAGAGGGAGAGAGAGAAAGAGAAGGGATGTTAAAAAACCTGCAAACACCATTACAGGAAACACCACATGAAAGAATAATAGTTGTAGCACACAAATCTATTGCGACGGCCTAGTGTCAAATCCAAGGAAATCCAAGTAAGGAACTATCATACCATAATATGGTATGTTATACTTACATTCACTGCAGTTGAATCCCGAATAACCAAATGAACAACTGAAAGAAAAAAAAAACTTGATCTTTGCACACAGACCAACAACGCAAGTTAACCATTGCACTGCATCCAAACTCATTTACATTTTAGTCATTTAGCAGACGCTCTTATCCAGAGCGACTTACAGTTAGTGAATACATATTTTTTTATACTGGCCCCCCGTGGGAATCGAACCCACAACCCTGGCATTGCAAACGCCATGCTCTATCAACTGAGCTACATCCCTGCTGGCCATTCCCTCCCCTACCCTGGACGACACTGGGCCAATTGGGTCGCGGACGGCTGCGACAGAGCCTGGATTCGAACCAGGATCTCTAGTGGCACAGCTAGCACTGCGATGCAGTGCCTTAGACCACTGCGCCACTCAGGAGTTAGACTCCTAGTTGAAAGACTCATTGTTTATGTGAAAATAGATGACTGAATAAATGAATTGATGGAAAATGATTGAATTAATTAAATGTTTTAAGTACTTACTCATTGCACACATCGCGGTCTGCTTTCCCACTTTCACAAGCTGCAGACAGAAACGGTAAAGTAAGTCTATCACAATATGTTTTTATTACAAAGGACAAGTCATTGCAACAACCCCCCCCCCCCCCCCCCCCCAGTGCCACTCACCTTTGCATGTTCTGATAGAGTATTCCGTTTTCACGTAACCGGTCCGACAGGTACATTGAGGTCTACCACCCTCAGAGTTACAAATAGTTGAAGTGTCCTCACAAGGTTTCCGAGACAATTCACACTGTTTGGCTTCTGTATAGACAGTGCCACAGGGAGATGATTACATACAGTAAGTAAGTGTGCTTTCATTCAGCATTATGCTTGGGGCAAACAATGTTTATTCCATAAATTCAATCAATTGCCCGATGTGACGGAATTCCTTCAAATCAATTCCACATTGACATCTTCAATAACAAGTGCGAGTGGCGCAGTGGTCCCCCCCCCCCCCCCCATCATGTCTTCATTACCCGCTGTGGAGGCCTGAATGCATAACATCCAAAAGACAGCTAGTCCAGGGGTTGAAGATCAGTTGAATAATGGGACAAAATAAGGGTACAGCTCTCCAGCAGCAGGATTTAGGAGGATCACTACTCTAGAGTGTAAAGTTACATCATACTACCAATGACATATGACAACATCATGATTGTGATTGATTGCACACTTAGTTCTCGGTCTTTGCCTTGACATTCATTGTAGCTAAGCTCACTAGATTGCCTCCTAGCTTATGTTAAACCACAGTCATTATACATAAAGGGAATAGTGTGTTACTATAGGTGACATACCTTTGTATTTCGCTTTTAAGAACACATCATCTTTACTGTCTTGAAGAGCATTTTCTATAATTCCATTGATGATGGTTTCGTCGATGATGGAGTTGAGTTTAAAATTGTTCTCAATGGTCGCGTTGACACCTGCTGATTCACGTGACCAGAAGGTACGAGCCGAACCCTCACTCATTCTGCTAGGAGGCAAATTAGTATCAGGATTTTTAGAGTTAGGATCATCATGAAACTATCACATACTCATGATCTTCACAAGTGTGCAAGAAAGTAGTGATAGCTACAGCATCAATCATCTGTCAATATTTGTCTTGGGCGTGGGATATCTTCCAAGTCAAAATGAGACATTATCATGATGGTTTTAATAATCTGAACTGACACAATTACAGTTAGGTTGAATTTGTTCAAGAAGACGTTGACTTTGAAATTCAAGGATGAAAGTAGTTTGTTAGAATCAAACCAATAACACGAAAATTGTAGTGTAGCCTATAGCGTGACTGGTATACAAAATTTTTATGGTAAAAACAGGGGACCACAGTAACTACATTAACACTGACCTGAGCTTCAGCACTGTGGAATCAATGTAGCCGGCGTGACCTTTAAAAGCCATAAACATCTGTATTTCGGACAGACAAATTAGTTCACAATATTATTCTGCTGGACAGTTCATCTCAACGTTTCTTCATCATGACACGCTAAAATTAGATTAGCCTAGTACAGCTAAATAAAGGAGACTGTTGTTTTTTACAAACAACAAACATTGTAGTAGATGGGGTATGGTTCGATCATGGTGAATCGAATAATTTCAAATCAAAATAATCATTTGTGAATCACGAACAGCAAAAGTAAAAAGATAAGATGTAGGCTACTGAAAGGTTGCAAGATAACAGCAAAACAAAATCCCAGGCTTCCAGTAAAGATCTCAAGCTTCCTTTTGGATTATGTAGCTGCAAAACTTGTTTTGTATAAGTTGATTTGGGCATTACATTTATGGGACATTGCATCACTCAATAGATCCTAGTCAGCCTGCAAAGTAAACATGGGCTTATGGTATATGACGTCACTACTGACATAATACTTCTAAGGTAAGATAAATATGACTGAAACGGTACATTTCCTGGAGAAAAAGTTTTTTTATAGCTGTGGGAGATGTTTTAAATGTAGAATTCAAGCTGAATAGCAGCTGAAGCATTTCAATATAGTGAGAATAGGTCTGATTACTTTGTGATGCACGCATACTAATAACCAAAAATAGCTATGCCTCAGAAAACTTTACTGTGGGCCAGACTCGCTAGGGACATGCTTCCAATGGTACTAACCACTTCTGACACCAATGTAGTTAATTAGGGGGGTAACCCGACCAGGACCCTAGTCCCTGTGACTGCCATTCCAAAATGTGATCCATTATATAATCACTAGGTGCTGTACTAAGGTCATCATTATCGTATTTTTACATGGGGGTCCATCTTTATTAGCATCTTTCAAGGCCATTACAGTAGCTGATACTGACTGAAGGATTTCCACACACACATTCAATTGTATCCCATTATATTAATTAGAAAATGTTTAAAATAGATGGCATTTCTTTATTAACTTCATCTCATTTGTGAGATTAAGTAAGTAAATGAGATGTGAATGTTCATATTACTACAGTAGATGTATGTTCACTGATTGAACGGGTCAACATGGATGCTCCTTAGAAGATCAAGAACCCATATTTTCTCCTCAGAATTACTGCACTAACTGTTGTGAAAATACCTGCTTGGAAAAATTCTACAGTTTCTACGACCTGGGTTGACTGGGACAGTTTCCAAGGACTTAACAACAAGTGTAATGCAGCTGTTACCTAGCTCACACATTGTCAAAATGTCACAAACAGCTTGGTAACGACCTTACTATGTGACAACGTTGGAGAAAAGTTGTGATTTTTAACTACAGACAGACATAAATACAGTGTAAAACGTCTAATATCTATTTACCAAGTCAATGATCTTGACAGCTATCTTGTTGAATTGTTGTGTTGTTGAGTTGATCATTTCTTCTTCAAAGGGCAAATTAGTCAGGGTCAGAGATCCAGGGAAGACCTTGGCTGAAATTGAGAATCAACACATGGTGGTATCACATGACAAATACGAATGATAAGCACCTATTGAAAATGGTGGGGGTGCAGCATTGTGTTAAAAAGCCCACAGAGGAGATGGTACATGAGATCCAATATACATGTATAGATGCTATAGCTAATATAATATATATTTAACTGAGTTTGACTCATCTACCCACTGTCATCTAGGTTGCTCTCATTTATGTATTCATACACTTATACATTTATCAATGTATTGATGAGAACCTAAACCTATTCGATTGCTTCACGTGGAAGCTAAATACAAACATAGAACCAGCTTATCCACACTTAACCATGCCCAGGACAAAAAAAACTCGTCTTAAATCAGAATAGTTTCTAAAGTTCCTAACTTTTCATTGTAGATGATGAAGCTGTCCTCCCTATCAATCAGAGCTATGTAGGGCTATATCATTCTGTCATCCATGGTATTGTAGCACCCACTAGTGGTGTCAAAGAGGAGATACCCACCTTCCTCACATAGTCCACTTGCCTCAGAGTATGTTTGGCCAGCAATACAGAGACAGGTGAAGTGGGATGCATAGCCTGGCTGACAGCTGCTACTGCCATTGCATGGGTTTGAGTCACAGGGATCTTAAAATTAAAGAGGAACACAGTTCTTTAGAACGCACATAGCACTTTGTGATGCATTTATTAATACAAAATAATCTGTGTAGAATAGACGATACAGAGCAAGTCTTGGGGAGAATGTCTGTCCACTAAACAGCAAAATTGCCCTAAAGAACAATAATCTGGGGCATACAACTGGTTTGGCTTGATGCATTTCAACGAGGGACAGATTTCTACTTGGGAAAACAAGGGTGTGTTCAGCTTTTCTATACATTTTTCATTTTCCTATTTTAGTTGTAGTTAAAATAGGACAACGAAAAGTGTAGTTAATATAGTTAATTTTATAAGTGGTTTATATATAAGCTGTCACCATGTTATATTTGACTGTCACCATGTTACTTTGTCTTTTTACATGTTGCAAATAAAGGTTTGTGAAAATAAAAGTTTGGTTACATTTGCAGCAGTACGTACTAATTAAGTTATTTTAAGTGCTCTCGAAATTGCCAGCAGCATACCACCCTGCCTCCCACTCACTGCTGGCTTGCCTCTGAAGCTAAGCAGTGTCAGTCCTGGTTGGACCCTGAATGGGAGAACCGATGCTGCTGGAAGTGGTGTTGGAAGGCCAGTAGGGGGCACTCTTCCATCTGGAGATCCCAATTCCCCAGGGCAGTGAAGGCGTCATTGCACTGCGTAGGTTGCCTTTTTTCGGATGGGATGTTAAAACAGGTGTCCTGACTCTCATCGTAAGAGTAGAGATGATAACCCTGGTGTCCTGGCTAAATTCCCAATCTAGCCCTCATACCATCACGGCCACCTAATCATCCCCAGCTTCCAATTGTCTCATTCATCCCCTCTCCTCCCCCCTGTAACTATTCCCCAGGTCGTTGCTGTAAAAAAGAATGTTTTCAGTCAACTTACCTGGTAAAATAAGGGTAAATAAATAAATACAAATGTTGCACACCATTCTTCAACTTTCATTGAGGTCCGTTTGCTCCTGTCGCTCAGGGTATGTCCACGAACTGCTATTCGAATGTGACCCAAATAGCAAGAGTCATGCAGCAGCACACCGTACAAAATTGCCATGTTAGCCACAATAATAACAACTTTCCTTCACTGGTTGATTAAAACAGCACCACTCCCATTTACTATATCTCCTTCATCCTAAACAAAGCCCTTGTGTGTGTGCACTCCCCAGCCAATCAGTGGCATCAATTGATCAAAGCAGAAGGGAAAACTGGAAAACCAGTATGACTGTGGAACTCGAGGGCCAGAGTTATGAGTTATTGATTTAAATATACAAGTGGCACTTACTCAAAAATGTGTTTGAAATACTGCAGCTTGCAATTAGCCTATATTGCACGCAACACACAACTGTGCTGGTTATATATTTAAGCAATAAGGCCAGAGGGGGTGGGGTATATTGTCTGATATACACACGGCTGAAATGCTGTTTCAGCCAATCAGCACCCAAGTACTGTGATATGGCCTTTTTTGCACTACTTTTAGTACAGATGCCGTTGTCCTTGATGTTATTTGAAACCTTACTATGAGCTCTGAAATAGGAGTTGTATTGATATGTTTTGTAACTACTTAATTGCATTAATTGATGACAATTTATTAAAACGTTAATGAATAAGCTGTTATAAATTAATATTTATACATCCTTGCAATGCAATGCTTATGAATGCTTATTAAATATGTATAAATGTTTACAAATAACGAAACGATCATTTATTAATAGTTTAATACATTGAATGTATACTAGTTATACATAGTTTATTAATGCTTTATAAAAAAAGTTCTTACATTATAGTAATTTAGCAGACGCTCTTATCCAGAGAGACTTACAGGAGCAATTAAGGTTAAGTGTCTTGATCAAGGGCACAGACAGATTTCTTTCGGTTACTGGCCCAAAACTCTTAATCTTTAAGCTACCTGCCACCACATGTGAATTCTGAAAATTATGTACATAATTGAATTACCTTTTTACCGTCTTACTCAATGAGCAGATCCAATTTCCAAAGTGGGATATCATATCACCATTTAAGATTGGCAAAGGCGCACTCGTTTTGGATTTTAATATTGAATTGGCTGTGACCATAATGGATAATCACTGCAGAAGCAATTACAGTGTTTTAGGTTATTGTGTTTTGGGTTATTGTCCTGCTGAAAGATGAATTGATCTCCCAGTGTCTGGTGGGAAGCAGACAACTAGGTTTTCCTCAAGGATTTTGCCTGTGTTTTAGCTCCACTCAGTTTCTTTTTTATCCTGAAAAACTCCCCAGTCCTTAACAATTACAAGCATACCCATAGCATGATGCAGCCACCACTATGCTTGAAAATATGGAGAGTGGTACTCAGTAATGTGTTGTATTGGATTTGCCTCAAACATAATTTTTTGTCCTAAATACAAAGTGTTAATTGCTTTGCCACATTTTTTGCAGTATTACTTTAGTGTTTTGCTGCAAACAGGATGCATGTTTTGGAATATTTTTTTTATTCTGTACAGGCTTCCTTCTTTTATTTGGTTAGTATTGTGGAGTAACTACAATGTTGTTGATCCATCCTCAGTTTTCTCCTATCACAGCCATTAAACTCTAACTGTTTTAGTCACCATTGGCCTCATGGTGAAATCCTTGAGTGGTTTCCAAGGGGCGTGAATAGATTCTGTATATGTGCATTGAAATAATTCCCTAAAATCATGTCACCAGATAACTTTTCTAGGTCTGATAATGGTGTTAACCCAATCCATACCCTATTCCAGTCATTCTGTCATCAAAACAACTCAGTAAATTTGCCCAGAGGGCATTCACTGCGGTCTAGAGGGACGCAATGACAATGGGTTGTATTGCCTTGCTGTCAAAATGTCCAAAATATAGTCCTCTATCAATCATCTTTAGAATTTCTGATGCTCTAAGACTCTAGCTTTTGTTTTGCCGTCAAAATCTGCAAAACAATTACTCCTCTTTCAATAATGTTCCCTGACTGTCTAGCTTTCGTTTCAGTGATTGTTAGGCTAATAATTTTTCATCATCCATTATTATTTCTACACAGCTTCTATATGGTTTTAGTCATTCAAGAAGAAAAAAAAAAAGAAGAAAGACATCTTACCAAGCCAACATGGCAGCCCATATGAAATCGGGCCTACTATTTGACACCCCTGGTCATAGAAAAACAAGAAGGTTAGTTGGATGACTAATGAGCCTACTTGGTGTTGTTGTTGTTGCAGGATCCTTCGTTGTTGGTGTTGCTGCAGTATCCTTCGTTGTTGGTGTTGCTGCAGGATCCTTCGTTGTTGGTGTTGCTGAAGGATCCTTCGTTGTTGGTGTTGCTGCAGTATCCTTCGTTGTTGGTGTTGCTGTAGGATCCTTCGTTGTTGGTGTTGCTGCAGGATCCTTCGTTGTTGGTGTTGCTGCAGGATCCTTCGTTGTTGGTGTTGCTGCAGTATCATTCGTTGTTGGTGTTGCTGCAGTATCCTTCGTTGTTGGTGTTGCTGCAGTATCCTTCGTTGTTGGTGTTGCTGCAGTATCCTTCGTTGTTGGTGTTGCTGCAGTATCATTCGTTGTTGGTGTTGCTGCAGTATCCTTCGTTGTTGGTGTTGCTGCAGTATCCTTCGTTGTTGGTGTTGCTGCAGTATCCTTTGTTGTTGGTGTAGGATCCTTTGTTGTTGGAGATTCGGTTGATGCTGTTGCTGTAGGGACATTGTTGGAAGGGGGGGGGGGGGGGGTAGCAGAGGGTTCAGCATTGGGATCAGCGGCTGAAGGGTATAGATTAATTATTATTGAATAAATGCAATTGCACCACTTTGAACCTCATATTCATTATCTCCAGTACCATACCAATGTCCCCATTCTGTGGTTAAAAAGAAAGGTCCTAAAATATTCCTCATCGAGTAGAATTAAAAGTAAAAAAGTGATTTCCAAAACCTGCCATAATTTTTTTTGCCAGGGGATGGCATTTCACTGCTCCCTGTGCTTGATGATGTCATTGAGTAGAACTTTTTAACTTTAGAAATGCGCCATTTTCACATATGTAGACACTGGTATTGTGCTCGAGATAATGAAAATGAGGTTGAAAAGTGGTGGAATTGCCCTTTAAGATAATTAATGTAGCAAAAACAACATTCAGCGGCTGACTGAAATGTCTGTGTCCCATAAAAAAGTTGACACTAGTTTTCACTGCTGCTAAGATTTATTTTCCCTAAAACATAAATCTGTTACAAACACTTTTTCATTGTAAGAAATTCTATATAATTAAATCGTACAGGAAATATTGTCACTGGTCAGGTACTTTGACGGGTAGAGAAGACAGTTCATTCTTGATTTACTGTCACACAATGGAAACAAGGCTGTACTGCCTCCATTCTCTTATCAGCCCAGCTGGGAAGACTCCCACAACCTAATGGCGCGGGCCCTGGACAAACATTGAGTCTTCCTCTCCTCTATGTTCCACCCTAGCCCAATATAGTTTCTCCCCCTTCTCCCTGAGGTGACGGTATGCATTCATTCACTCCCCCTCAAGGATTTCAAAGAATTGGACTGGAGTAAGAAATATGGTAGACACTTGAACGAGTGGACACTTCAGGTAGAAGGGGTGTGGGAAGAACACTTATCCCCCGTCCCTTATGTATTTATGTAGCACTAAAGGCTTGGTTGGACAGGTGTAACTCAGTCGAAGATTCCACCTAGTCTATCAGAGGAAAAGGTGAAAGTACAATATTGCTTATACCTATCCAATCCTTTCAGATCTACATGAAGTGCCTAAGGGTAGGGCCTAGGGGTCAACTCTGAATTCAGAAAAGTTGTCCACCCTCCCCACCATCTTTCCCTCCACCAACCCTGAAACTCATAATATACCACTTCAATAACAGGGATGCCAAACACAGGATGTGTCCACTTCAGCAGACTGCGTCACCTTGTTCATAAGACCATCGGCATGATAAACATTGCGTTATGTTTAAGTTTCAGGTGCAATCCAGGGCATGTAACAGCAAGATGTGAACAAATAAAAATGCAGCATTGGGCTTGTACAGTTAACACGACAAACTAAGCCCATATACAGTATAGGCTAGGTCCCTCTGCGACTTAAGCCATTGCTACTAAATGCTACGATAAAATCTATAATATGCCATTCATTTGGATAATTGTAGTTGGCAGGATAAGACAGATCCAAGTTCACCAAGATAGATAGACATTGATTAAACAGTCATATTTCATTACGGAAGCAGACACCAACCCCTACGCACAGACAATGCAGACACAAACACCCACATCCTTTCATTCACTGTCCACCGTGATGCTCTTGCAGAACAGCAGCAGCACAGCAAAGAATAGGGTCTTTATTTGGAGTCTTGTGGGTTCAGCCCTTGACTGTATACAGCTCAGCCCTGTCCCAAAAGAACTACAGGGGCCCCTGAAAGAGAACAAAGCTAGCCAGCCAGCAACACTTGAAGCACCTGGCTAAAGTTTCACTCTACATTGTATATGCCTACTCTCTCACTGGAAACATATTTACAGGTATCACTCAGAGAAAAAGCAGGTAATGTAAAAAAAAGACAAGAGTCCACTGTCCAAGTCCATAACTACTAGGCGTAGACAATGCCATTGTTTGTACTATAGGTAGGTAACCTGCTCTGTACTTTGTATCGTGTGACTATTGTGATTTATTGCTTGGTTACTAGTGTTCACTTTTGGGTGAGCGGCCAGGAAAGGGGCTGAATTTCACTGTCTCTTCCTCTTTAGTGTCACAGTAAAATTATATCATGATTCACGTCCACCCATTAAACACACAAACAAGATAATTCGGGACATGAATTTGCCCTACAATGAAACTACTTTGTAATGGTTAGGGAAGTAAATTGCAAAATACTTGCACTTAAATACTTAAATACTTCTGAAGCTCCTAAACTACTTTTACAAACTCATTTTAATGACCAGTGGCGACCCATCAAAGGGCAGGTTTGCATGTTATTTTGGCATTAATACATGTCACATATCAGTTTGCAAACAATGAAAAAATTAAATAATCATTGACTTAATAAAGCCACATACAAACATGGTCTCTTTTTTGCTTTCTTGAGTAATGCAGGTGTTTCAGCCTAGCTCAATGTTTTCTGTGGTGGTGGGGCAGCCAGCGGAAAATATAGAAAATGTGGTTTGGAAGGAATCAGTGGCTAACTGCAAGCATTGCAAAGCAATCACTAGCCTGCTATTCAGTGGAGTGGATGTGTGGTCCAAGTCTGGGTTTAAGGGTCTCTTTTCCAAGCTTAAAAAGATAAACATTCAACATCGGCCATGCTGTCAATCCAGCATGAATTCTGCCGCGTTCAAAACAACTGGAAACTCGGAACTGGGAAATCTCAGACTTCAGTGAGTTCAATACAACTGGGAACTCGGAAAAAAACAAGATACAACTGGGAAAATAAGTTTTGAACGGTCATCCAACTCGGAATTCCAAGTAGGGAACTTGGGCCTCTTTCTAGAGCGCCGAACTGAAGATCACTAACGTCATGATTCAACCTTTTTCAGAGTTCCCAGTTGTCTTGAAAGCACTATAAATCCAGAGAATGAAAGACTTTGATGACAAAATTTGCCCTATGAAGGCCCGCATCACCACCTTCCTGTTCAAGTGAGCACAGCACAACAAGGTGAGTCCAAAAATGTATTGTATGCTGCTGCATACATTATGTAATATGCCAGGGAGATATGTATACTGTAATAGACCCACTGCTAAGAAAGTAATACTAAGTGTACAGTGCATTCGGAAATGTATTCAGACCCCTTGACTTTTTCCACATGTTAAGTTACAGCCTTATTCTAAAATGGATTGAATTTGGGGGGGGGGGGTTCTCATCAATCGACACACAACACCCCATAATGACAAAGAATAAACCGTTCTTCTTCGATATGACGCTACAAGCTTGGCACACCTGTATTTCGGCAGTTTCTCCCATTCTTCTCCGCAGATCCTCTCAAGCTCTGTCAGGTTGGATGGGGAGCGTCGCTGCACAGCTATTTTCAGGTTTCTCCAGAGATGTTCGATCGGGTTCAAGTCCGGGCTCTGGCTGGACCACTCAAGGACATTCAGAGACTTGTCCCGAAGCCACTCTTGCGTTGACTTGGCTGTGTACTTAGGGTCGTTGTCCTGTTGGAAGGTGAATCTTCGCCCCAGTCTGAGGTCCTGAGTGCTTTGGAGCAGGTTTAAATCAATGATCACTCTGTACTTTGCTCCGTTCAACTTTCCCTCGATCCTCCCATACCCTCCCACTGATAAACATCCCCACAGCATGATGCTATCACCATGCTTCACCTTAGTAACGCCAAGGTAGTTGGTTCGATCCCCCGGACCACCCATACACAAAAAAATAAAAATAATAATGTATGCACGCATGACTGTAAGTCGCTTTGGATAAAAGCGTCTGCTAAATGGCATATTATTATTATTATTATTAGGGATGGTGCCAGGTTTCCTCTAGACGTGACGCTTGGCATTCAGGCCAAAGAGTTCAACCTTGGTTTCATCAGACCAGAGAATCGTGTTTCTCATGGTCTGAGAATCTTTAGGTGCCTTTTGGCAAACTCCAAACGGGCTGTTACGTACCCTTTTACTGAGGAGTGGCTTCCGTATGGCCACTCTACCATAAAGGCCTGATAGTTGGAGTGCTGCAGAGATGGTTGTCCTTCTGGAAAGTTCTCCCATCTCCACAGAGGAACTCTGGAGCTCTGTCAGAGTGACCATCGGGTTCTTGGTCACCTCCCTGACCAAGACCCTTCTCCCCCGATTGCGCAGTTTGGCCGGGCGGCCAGCTCTAGGAAGAGTCTTGGTGGTTCCAAACTTCTTCCATTTAAGAATGATGGAGGCCACTGTGTTCTTGGTGACCTTCAATGCTGCAGAAATGTTTTGGTACCCTTTCCCAGATCTGTGCCTCGACACAATCCTGCGTCGGAGCTCTACGGACAATTTCTTCGACCTCATGGCTTGGTTTTTGCTCTGACATGCACTGTCAACTGTGGGACCTTATCTAGACAGGTGTGTGCCTTTCTAAATCATATCCAATCAATTGAATTTACCACAGGCGGACTCCAATCAAGTTGTAGAAACATCTGAAGGATGATCAATGGAAACAGGATGCACCTGAGCTCAATTTCGAGTCTCATAGCAAAGGGTCTGAATACTTATGTAACTAAGGTATCTGTTTTCAATTTTTTATAAATTTGATAACATTTCTAAAAACATGTTTTCGCTTTGTCATTATGGGGTATTGTGTGTAGATTGATGAGGATTTTTTGTTTTTATCAATTTTAAAAGAAGGCTGTAGCGTAACAAAATGTTGAAAAAG